ACAGTTACTTTCACTTCTCCTGACTTACGTTACCACAAGTTAGCAGCTCTATGCTTTTCTTAAATTGCTGGTGATTTTAATTTCTGATGGAAGTTGCAGTATTACTCCTGTCTGCTGACTTAGGTTTTTTGTTTGTTTGTTGTTGTTGTTGTTGTTTGTTTTTGTACCCCAGGCTGGAGTCCAGTGGCATATTCTCAGCTCACTGCAACCTCTGCCTCCTGGGTTCCAAGTGATTCTTGTGCCTCAGCCTCGTGAGTAGCTGGGGTTACAGGTTTGTGCTACCATGCCCAGCTAATTTTGTATTTTTGGTAAAGACGGGGTTTCACCACGTTGGCCAGGCTGGTCTTGAACTCCCATCCTCAAGTGATCTGCCTGCCTTGGCCTCCGAAAGTGCTGGGATTACAGACATAAGCCACCACGCCTGGCCTCTGCTGACCCAATTCTTGGTTATGAAGCTGTGGTTGTAGTTTAAGCTTCCTGTAAGACACCCAGCCAGGTGTTCAGCATCGCAAGGTATGTAGGGTAAATATGTGTTAAATAAAATAATGTTTTATTCCTATGATATTGTGTTGTCTCATCTCTCTCTTTCTCTGTTTTAAAATTTTTTTCTCTCTTCACTTTGCAACATTTTTATACCATTTTATTTTTGTTATAGCAATAAGATATCGTGGTGTGTGTGTGTGTGTGCGTGTGTGTGTGTGTTTAATACCCTTCATCTACCAGGACAAACCTACAAATGGGGAAGAGGGAGGCAATAAAGAGCCCTCAGAAAAGTAAACTTTAGAAAGTTTATACATTTATATTTTCCTTGAAATATCAGAATTTTTAAATTAAAATTTCAATATCTTTTCCTCCCAAATGTACATATTATTTTAAAACTTAAGTTAGGTTTATTAAAAAACAGCTATCTCATCATGCACCTTTATTATTCATTATCAACTTTTTCTGCTACATGTCTATCATTTTATCATCAGTTGACTAATACTAGCCTATATTTCACCAGTTGGCTCATGTACTTTTGAGGGAAATGTTTTTCCTGCTAGTTTTTTCATTTTTCATCTTTCATGTTGCTAAAAGTATTACAACTGCTCTGTAAATACCCAAATGAAACAATTATGGAAGGTTAGATAGCATAAATGGTGTAATACAATGAGTGATCTCATAGTCATTATCTGCTAGTTTGACCTTTTTCTTTTCTTTTTGCCTGAGACTTCTTAATAAAGTTTCTAAGGGCAATGCTCACATCAGTTATCATTTCTTTTCTTTTCAATTTTTTTATTGTACTTTAAGTTCTAGGGTACATGTGCATAACGTGCAGGTTTGTTACATATGTATACTTGTGCCATGTTGGTGTGCTGCACCCATCAACTTGTCAGCACCCATCAACTCATCATTTACAGTTATCATTTCTTGAACACTTAGTGGCCGCTCAGTCAAAGGAACCCAGCAGTCAGAAGAATTATTTGAAGCCTCTTGAAGCAATTGGGCTGCATCAAGCACTCTCTCTTTGCAGGACACTCAGATAATATTTCCAATATAACCCTTAACTCATGGTATCATACTTTTATCTATTCACATTTGCTCCTGGAAGGCAGGAAAATGTCTCCAGTAGAGCATGACCCACAAGGTATTCTTTTATTTATATTTATTATATATTTATTATATTTATTATATAAATAATATATGTTTATTATATATATATTTATATATTTATGACACTGCGTCTTGCTCTGTCACCCAGGCTGAAGTGCAGTGGTGCAGTCTTAGCGCACTGCAACCTCTACCTCCTGAGTTCAAGCTATTCTCATGCCTCAGCTACCTGAGTAGTTGGGATTGCAGGCATGTGCCACCACACAGGCCTATAATTTTTTTTTAAATTTTTTTTATTTTTAGTAGAGATGGGGTTTCACCATGTTGTCCAGGCTGATCTTAAACTCCTGGACTCCAGTGATCCACCCACCTTGCTCTCCCAAATACTGGGATTACAGGCATAAGCCACCATGCCTGGCCAGTATTCGTTAAGTATTTGATTAAATGCCTTGTTTTGCACCACTGTTTTGAGAAAACAACCTCTTTGTCCCTTTTCTTTTCTTTGATTTGGAACCACTCTGGCTTCTCTGTAGTCCTATAAATTTGAGGACAGGCAGTTTTGATGCCTTTGGGCCTAGAATCTTGGCTCTCTTGTTCTCCTTTCCTGAGGCCACAGAATGGAAGCTGAGTGTACTTGAATGGTGGCAATTGACTGTTACTCATGTAGGTATCCGCCAAGATTGACCCAGTTCTTGCTCTCCTTAACTCTTCAGTCTTTTAAAGGTACTTCTTTACCCTCCTCAAGAAGTATATATTGTATCTAGGATTTTTCTTTTCCTTCCTTCCCTCCCTCCCTCTCTCCTTCTCTCCCTTCTTCCTTCCCTCTATTCCCTACTTTCTCTCTCCTCCCTCCCTTACTTTCTCTCTCCTCCCTCCCTTACTTTCTCTCTCCTCTATCCCTCTCTCTTTTTCCTTCCTTCCCTCCCTCCCTCCCACTTTCCCTCCCTCCCTCTCTCCCTTCTTCCTTCCCCCCCCACTACTTTCTCTCTCCTCCCTCCCTCTCTCCTTTTTCTCCTTACTTCCCTTCCTCCCTCCCTCCCTCCCTCTCTCCTCTCCTTCCTTCCCTTCTTCCTTCCCTTCACTTCCTCTCTCCTTCTTTCCTTGCTTTCTTTCTTTCCTCTTTTCCTTGCTTTCCAGCAGGATAGTTCTGAATAACTTAGCCCTCTAATCCTAGAAACAAGATATTTAAAAATCTATTTAGAAATAGTAAATTATTAACAACTGACAATAAGCCTTAAAATGGGCATCCCCTTTTAGGATTCTTTTAGATTTGTCAGTCAAGGCAGATAACATAGATCATCAGTCAGTATAAAAATATGTCACATATATTTCCAGTAAAAAGATCCTTAAAAATGACCCACAATTATAAAACCTTTCCAAGAAATGAGTAACTCTAATAATTAGCATAACTTACTAGAATTTATTCTTTACACTTACCATCAATATACTTCCTAAGGCAAGAAGTCAAACTCAAACTGGCTTAAGCTATAAAGGGTATTTGTTGACTCAGATGGAAAGACTTGGGATGGATTACTTCAGGAACAGCTAGATCCAGGAATTCAAGTATTGTTATTAGGCATAGTGTCTGTCTGCCTGATCTTCTGTGTTAGCTGCAGTCTCTGGTAAGCTCTCCTTTGGTGGTGAGATAGATTTTAGGAACTCCGGACTCTCAGTCTGTGCTTGAAGTCAATGATCTCCAAACTTCGTTGATTATGTACCTAACAGTAAAAGTTGAGCAGAATAGTCCCAACATGTATATATTTCTTTATATATGATATGCTACTAGATACTACTTTTGTGTGTTATATAATGTATATTCTTTGTTGTGGTGTACATATGCTATAAGTTATATTGCTGTGTTGTATGTATATTCTATGTTATACTAATTATGGAGTTCAATTTTTGATTTTTAATGTAAATAATAAAATAAAAATACTAATATTTTTTATACTCCCAATGGATTGTTTTCTGCACCCCACTTTGGGGACTACAATAACAGTCCTGTGAACCATCTCTCATTGGTTCTTTTTGGCCTACCCTGAGTCATGTGCCCATTCCTGAGTCCAGAGTCCTTGAAATAGTAAAAGCAAATTTTTATTAATGTAAAGTGACAAATATCTGACTAGGCTTAAATTGAGAGATGCTATTTATCTTTGTGAAGCTATTTATATTCTGGAATCACTGATACTTTATCCAAAAAAAGGGTCATAGTCCTTCTCTCAGTACAGAGTTACAGAACAAAGATTCTCTTCTTCCGTAACAATCTAATTCCATTCGTTTATACTAAATTTCTGTAATGTCATACCTGGAGTATCATGAAAATGTCCTGTCTGGTTTTTGTTCATATACCCACTCACATACAATTCGTACATACACACTCACACAAACATAAACACACATACTTTCTCTAGTGACAGGTGAATGCTCTATGTTAAGAAGTAGGAATTGATGAGTCTTGTAAGTAAAATCCAATTTTTTGTTTGTTTTTTTTTTTTTTGTTTTTTTTTTTTTTTTTGAGACGGAGTCTTGCTCTGTCGCCCAGGCTGGAGTGCGGTGGCCAGATCTCAGCTCACTGCAAGCTCCGCCTCCCGGGTTCACGCCATTCTCCGGCCTCAGCCTCCCGAGTAGCTGGGACTACAGGCGCCCGCCACCTCGCCCAGCTAGTTTTTTGTATTTTTTAGTAGAGACGGGGTTTCACCGTGTTAGCCAGGATGGTCTCGATCTCCTGATCTCGTGATCCGCCCGTCTCGGCCTCCCAAAGTGCTGGGATTACAGGCTTGAGCCACCGCGCCCGGCCGTAAAATCCAATTTTTATAATTCTTGAGATTGGCTGTTTTTTTAATTTTGTTTTTAATTTTTAATTTTTTGAGAGAGAGTCTCACTCTGTCACCCAGGCTGGAGTACAGTGGTGTGATCTTGGCTCACTGCAACCTCCACCTCCTAAGTTCAAGCAATTCTTCTGTCTCCACCTCCCTAGTAACTGAGATTACAGGGGCCCGCCACCACACCCAGCTAATTTTTGTATTTTTAGTAGAGATGAGGTTTCACCATGTTGGTTAGGCTGGTCTCAAACTCCTGACCTCAAATGATCTGCCCGCCTCAGTCTCCTAAAGTGCTGGGATTACAGGTGTGAGCCGCCATGCCTGGCTGAGATTGGCCATTTTGAACAAGATTGGTGGCTGTGTGGAAAAGTAGGAGGTAGAGGGTCTGGAATAATTTTTCATGTAGTTTTAGAAATGGGAGACGGTCCCTGCCATAACTAGAGTTCTTTTTTATTCTGTGTTCATAAAGAGGCTTTTCACTGTATGACATGCCATATGTACCAGCTCAAGTTTAGGGAAAGCAAGTTACTTCAAAAGGAGCTGAAGGAGAGGCTTTCCTGGGTATTTAAAATTAATCTTCTGTGGCAGAAATGCAATGGCACGTCATGATTCTGAGATGAAAGAAGAATGTCTAAGGGAAGACCTGAAGTTTTACTTCATGAGCCCTTGTGAAAAATACCGAGCCAGATGCCAGATTCCGTGGAAACTGGGTTTGCAGATTTTGAAGATAGTCATGGTCACCACACAGGTAACTTACATTATGATTTCATTTGATTTTTCCCTTACCCCAAGACAAAACTCTTTTCATGTGTTCTGTACTTGACTTTTGTTCTGAAAAGCCCACACTCAAGTTCCTAAAACTAAAATTATGTTGACTCTGGAGAGCAGAGGGTAGGTTGAAGTTCTGTTTAGAAGACAATCTTAGTAAGAGATCCTGAGGTCCTCTCTGTACAGGTTCTGTAAATGCTGAATAAATGTCGATCTGTGGTGAGGGGTTTCTATGTCTGAGTGACACACATTTGTGTTCTGGAACTCTCTTTATTAAACACAGCTTATTCAAATATACTTTCAAAATCTGCATTTTTTTGTCTTCAGACTTACAGAATCCTAAGTTTTCCTTGTATCATATCAATGTGCTCTATCTAAGTAAACACTGATCCCAGGCACTATCAGGATTATACAAAAGCTGCATTTAGACCTTTTGTTCAAGTTCATGTTGTTGAGCTCTTTATTACCGGTATCAAAACAGCCATCAGAGTTTTCCTCTAGTTTTGGGGCCTGTATTGCTGAACCAGTATTGGGGAGGCTTCTCTATAGGTCAGGAGTCCCCAATCCCTGGGCCATGGACCTGTTAGGAACCAGGCTGCACAGCAGGAGGTGAGTGGTAGGCAAGGGAGCAAAGCTTTATCTGTTTTTATAGCTGCTCCCCATGGCTTGCAGTACTGCCTGAGTTCTGCCGCCTGTCAGATCAGTGGTGGCATTAGATTCTCATAGGAGCGCAAACCCAATTGTTAACTGCACATTCAAAGGATCTAGGTTGCAGGCTCCTTATGAGAATCAAATGCCTGATGATCTGTCACTGTTTCCCACCACCCCTAGATGGGACCTTCTACTTGCAGGAAAACAAACTCAGGGCCCCCACTGATTCTACATTATGGTGAGTTGCATAATTGTTTAATTATATATTACAATGTAGTAATAATAGAAATAAAATGCACAACTAGTGTAATGCACTTGAATCATCCTGAAACCATTACCCACCCACCCGCTCCAGTCCCTGGAAAAATTGTCTTCCGCAAAACCAGTCCCTGGTGCCAACAAGGCTGGGAATCATTGAATTTTATATTTGAAACACATGCCCTTTTAAACTGATTAGGGATATGTGGCTCTATTGGCAAATAATCATTCTGTTATCAGTGTAGAGGTGTGTAAAGATGTTATTTCTGGTACATAAAAATAAATACTTAAAAATACCTTTATGTAGTTTTAGAAATGGGAGAAGGTCCCTGCCATAACTAGAGTTGCTTCTTTATTCTGTGTTCATAAAGAGGCTTTTCAGTGTATGATATGCCATATGTACCAGCTCAAGTTTAGGGAAAGCAAGTTACTTCCAAAGAAACGACAAGGTTGAGATGCAAAGACGTTGTTAAATGTGTATGCTTATTGTTAGCTTATTTTCATTCTCATTCTTGGTTTTGAAGTTTTGGTCTTGGCAACCAATAATATCTCTATTCTAGATATAGGTCCTGTCTTCAGAATTTGCAGTGTAGGAATATAGATCAGTTAATTAAGCTGCTTCTAGCTTTGTCTTATGCCTACCTTTCTTATCCATATACATTCGATGATAATATTATCTTAATTTTTCATAGAATAGCCTTTATTGTGTCACTCTCCTGTTCAGAAAGTTTATTGTGTCACTCTCCTGTTCAAAACCCTACTTCCTGTAATCCCAGCATTTTGGGAGGCCGAGGCGGGCGGATCACGAGGTCAGGAGATCGACACCATCCTGGCTAACACGGTGAAACCCTGTTTCTACTAAAAATACAAAAAATTAGCTGGGCGTGGTGGCGGGCGCCTGTAATCCCAGCTACTGGGGAGGCTGAGGCAGGAGAATCCCTTCAACTGGAAGGCAGAGCTTGCAGTGAGCTGAGATCGCACCACTGCACTCCAGTCTGGGCGACAGAGTGAGACTCGACTCAAAAAAACAAACAAAACAGAAAACAAACAAAAAAAAAACCCCTACTTCCCAAGAAGAAAATTTCACCTCTCTAGCCTGGAATTCAAAGAGTTCCAGTCTCCTTCAACTTGTCTTTCCAACAAGTTTTCATCTGCTGTTTCCTACCCAAATCGCAGTCAGACAGGCCAACCCAATGATTCTCTTCCACATCCTGTTTGTTCCTCCAAGTCCAGGGTGATTCTTTTTCTCCCTCACCTTTCAGGTACTATTTGAAGTCCCATCTCCCCCACTGGGCCTTGCCTGACCATCCAGCACGTGGTTTTCTTTAGTACTTCTTCCTGTCTACATGACTGATTTTATTTTTTATTATTTTTTCAAGATGGAGTCTCTCTGTGTCACCCAGGCTGGAGTGCAGTGGCACAATCATAGCTTACTGCAACCTCGAACTCCTGAGCTCAAGAGATCTTCCCACCTCAGCCTTTTAAACAGCTGACTAAAGGCACATGCCACTGCACCTGGCTTTTTATTTTATTTTTGTAGAGATGGGGTCTTGCTTTGTTGCCCAGATTATATTTGAACTTGTGGTTTCAAATAGTCCTCTCGCCTTGGCCTACCAACGGGCTGGGATTACAGGCATGAGCCACTGTGCCCAGCCTACTAATTTTACTTTAACAAAATATTTCTGGGAACTATAGTTTACTTTTCATATAGGCATACCCTGCTTCCCCTAATAAAATTGGGAAGGATTAAACTTTTGTTTCCATATAGGATCATTCTAACAAATTTTGCTATTTGGGTGATATCTAATTGGAGCAGATTTCTTGTTTACCATTCCTTGCATAATATCTCACTTTTCCCTCCCTCTCTTTTTCTGTTTTTTTTTTTTTTTTTTTTGTGCTCCATCCTCAAGTCTAATGGGATGGGTATGAGGGCTGATGAGAAAGAAAACAATTTTTTTAATTCTTACTCTGAATTCTGCAGTAATTTATAATCTTGAGAGAGGTGTCTACATTCTTTTGCTAGTTCTACTCTTTCTCTCCCATATCTTTTGTACATAATTAGAGCAGCATCTTGTTTTTACCTGGTACAGAATATTTTATCCTACATTGATTTCATAATGAGGTCTTAAATTTACAATCTTTGCCAGACTACACTTATAAGTAATTATTTTTCTGTCTTGTATCATACTCTCAGCAAATCTTAATGTCTAATTAGTGGGACTAGGATGCATTTTGCTGTCAACGCCTTTAAAAAAAAAACCCAGTCATTTGGACAATACCATCTTCCTTACTCTTACTCTGCAGTGAGTGTTTGGTTCTGTCATAACAAGAAAGGGACTTCACAGTTTCCTTCCCAGGATTTGTCTCCTTTAAGAGATGACTTGAAAATCCCAACCTTCCCCAGTGCTGGGCCATGCATTTTGATCTTGGCTTGTTCTATGAATAGAATGGAGGAAATTTCTTGCTCCTGATGCCAGATAGGGGAGGTTCCAAGCAGAGATTACAACAGAGTCCTCTCATCCCCAAAGCTGAGTTTTGATGAGCTTTGAGTTTAAGGTTGTGGCTTCAAATATCAGCAAACTATATACCACTTTCATGGTCAATTTGTTCATTCCCTAGTTCACATTTTTTTTGTTTGTTTGTTTCTTTAGCTTTACTATTGTGGGAGGAATGGGTCTAATATCCCTGCCTCTAGAGTTAAATTGGCAGCATTTCAGTTTAAGAGGTTGTGGGGCCAAGAGGTTGAGAGAACAAACAGACTCTAGAATCAAACAGACCTGGGTCCAGATCCTTACTCTAACATTTTCTGGATATTCCAACCTGGATAAATTACTTGACTTCAGATGTATCAAATGGGATTATATTCATCAGCTGATTCAGTGTTTGACGTTGTGATGGGCATTATTTCATTTCCTGAGTATATGATAGTAGGGGAAAAGGAAAAACATTCCTGTCCTTGCAGAGCACAGTGTAATAGCTCCCTCATAGGGTATTGAGAATTAAATGAAAAATAATAAATTTTAGCACAATGCCTGGTTCTCAACAGATAAGAGTTGTTATTCAGTACCACGCAGTGTTGTTCTTTTCCACATTGTATCCCAGCTTGGCTCAGAGTAAGCACTCAGCAAACTTTGACTGAAGAACTTCATTCATGTGTGGTGTGTATACTAGTTTTTTCATATGTGTCAGTAGTTTTAATAAAACTTTGAAGCAATCGTGTGTGTTGTTTCCCTGGTTTACATTTTACCTTTCAAGAGCAACATGACCTTTTCTGGCTTCTCCTACAGGCACCATTGACAGAAATCACATGCTTAGAAGAACTTATAACCTTCTGTTGCTTAATTTTCAGCACAAGTTGGATGATGTGGGACTTCTTATCTGATGTTTTCCTTAGAATAGCTGAGTTTTAGCAGTTGCACAATCCTTTGACATGGCATTTGAGGAATGTGACATGGTGAGTCTCAAATGCTGAACAGTAGCATCTGTGTACATTCTCAAGTGATAGTTGCCTTTCCTAATTTTGAAAAGCTAGCACTTAAATTCGTTAGAAGAAGCATCCCAAAAAACTTTTTCAGCAGAAGGAAGTTGTTTTTGTAGCATAACACAGATGACGTTGGAATTAGACTTGGCTTCCATTCTGGTTAGGTGACTTAGGCAATTTAATGAAGCTAAATCTCAGGTTCCACATACGTAAAATGGAATAACAGTAGTAACATTTTCGTAGACCACTTGGAGTAAAGGAGACACTGCATGTAAAGCAGTTAGCACAGTACCTGGCATATAATAATTGCTGAAAATGGTGACTATTTTTCCTAATTGTTTAGTATTTTTTAAAACGACAAAATATAAAAGCTAAAAAATGTAAACCATGAAAAAAACCTTATGCCTATATGTTGTTTGCATATGCAAATTAATATTAGCTATTTTACTTTATTTTTTTAGAGACAGGTCTTGCTATATTGCCAAGGCTAGCCTTGAACTCCTGGGCTTAAGTGATCCTCCCACCTCGGCCTCCCAAGCAGCTGGGACTACAGCCACAGACCACCTCACCCTGCTAAATTAACATTAGTTTTATCTGAATTGTTCAGAATTGTGTCTTGTATATTATTGTTTAGATGTATCATATTGAACCATGGAATGACAACAAATAACAGAACTGTCAGTGTCATCTAGTTACACTTGCTAATTTTACATATGAAGAAAACAGTCCCAAAATTTGGTGGCTTAGTTGAGTGAGGACTTGGGGCAAACCTTCTAGTCTCATTGTTTTATAAGGCAGCTGAAGAGATCACTTAGGGAGGTGGGGAGAGGTGTGTGGGACAGGGCTTATAGAGATTTGACTACCAGCACTGCCTGTGTGTGTATGTAAGAGAGACAGAGAAGACACGAATAAGAGTGCATGCATGTGAGAGAGTGTGAATGTACACTTGTGCATGTGGGAGTGCGTGCATGATGGGGTATTTGTGTAGCTGTGTGTGTAGTTTCCTAGGTTTTTTGTAAACTTTTGGTGTTAATTTCCTCCATTTTTGGGTTCCAAGAAGAAAACTTTCACTTCTGGTGAAGAGAACCCTTGGGTGCCTAAATTCTGCCAGAATACAATGACAATGAAAGGGAGAATAAGTGGGCATTTTTCAGGAGTAGGTGGATGCTTGGTGACAGTGAATGGGTTTGACATCATACAAGTAAAGCATGCTCTGTTATTCTTTCATGTGCTTTGATACTGTAGAATTTGGTGAGGGAAACTCTCAGGTGTAAATTTTATACAAGAATTCTTACAGAGCTGAATTAATTGAATTCTTTTGACAACTATTACCTCCTAGCTGAAGTAAGTATTTATGTAGGCTGCTTTTCAAAAAACACTTTTAAAAGACATATGTAAAACATAGCTGTGATTTTAAAAAATACTACAATTTCTAAATCTTTTTTTTTTTTTTTGAGACGGAGTCTCACTCTGTCGCCCCGGCTGGAGTGCAGTGGCCGGATCTCAGCTCACTGCAAGCTCCACCTCCCGAGTTTAAGCCATTCTCCTGGCTCAGCCTTCTGAGTAGCTGGGACTATAGGTGCCCGCCACCTCGCCCAGCTAGTTTTTTGTATTTTTTAGTAGAGACAGGGTTTCACCGTGTTAGCCAGGATGATGTCGATCTCCTGACCTCGTGATCCGCCTGCCTTGGCCTCCCAAAGTGCTGGGATTACAGGCTTGAGCCACCGCACCCAGCCAATTTCTAAATCTCAAATCAATACGATGAGTTACTGCTTTACTAAGTAATTGATTTTGAAAACAATTAACTTGAAATCCAAGTATGAGAAAAATGGATTGAGACTTAGCTGATTTGGATTCTTTCTTTCTTAATTAAAGGCCAGTAGGGTCACTAGTCATTGGGAGCAGTAATCTCTTCTAATTTTATGCTACTTTGAATTGCTGGTGTAGCTTGATGAGGTTATTCTTCTGTGGGACTTGTGTTTTGACATTGATGCTATTAGTATAAACCAAAAAAATTGATATTCTTTTCTGATGTTTATAGGTAATTGTTGATGATAGTGAGAAGACATTTGCCTCCCCTGATAAATGGTATATTTCATGTATTTCTATTTTATTTTATTTTTTAGCTTGTTCGTTTTGGTTTAAGTAACCAGCTGGTGGTTGCTTTCAAAGAAGATAACACTGTTGCTTTTAAGCACTTGTTTTTGAAAGGATATTCTGGTACAGATGAAGATGACTACAGCTGCAGTGTATATACTCAGGAGGATGCCTATGAGAGCATCTTTTTTGCTATTAATCAGGCAAGTGTTTTGTTGTGAATGACCTATACTTTAACAATGTATTGATACGTGGCCTTGTCTTAGCAAACAAACAAAAATTATACATATGTTAAAATATTCTAATGTAAGTTTTGCAGTCTGCCAAAAAATGTTTATTGCTATTTCTGAAGCTACATTTCTTTTTTTTTTTTTTTGAGACAGAGTCTCCCTCTGTTGCCGAGGCTGGAGTGCACTGCAAGCTCCGCCTCCAGGGTTCACGTCATTCTCCTGCCTCAGCCTCCCGAGTAGCTGGGACTACAGGCGCCCGCCACCACGCCCAGCTAATTTTTTGTATATTTAGTAGAGACGGGGTTTCACTGTGTTAGCCAGGATGGTCTTGATCTCCTGACCTCGTGATCCGCCCACCTTGGCCTCCCAAAGTGCTGGGATTACAGGCCTCTGAAGCTACATTTCTACACAAAAGAGTTTCCTATTTTGACTTTTAAAAAAAGATTTATCTTTTTAATTTATCACTTCATACCTACTGCTTTTGGAAAATTACCCCAGATCAAATAGCAAGAGTAGATTTTTTAATCTCAGAAGGCTTGATGAAAGCTTAGTATAAAATCAAAGATTCCAGCCTGGCGTGGTGACTCATGCCTGTAATCCCAGCACTCTGGGAGGCTAAAGTGGGTTGATCCTTTGAGTCCAGGAGTTTGAGACCAGTCGGGGCAACATTGTGAAACCCCATCTCTACAGAAATAAATACATAAATAATAATAAAATAAATAAATAAACAAACAAACAATCAGGGATTCTGTGGCCTTAATTGTGATGTTTTAGCATTAATAACCCTAGCTGAATCTCAAGAATATGGAACATAAAATAGTTGTATGTAGACAGGTCTGAGAAAGCAGATTTGTAGACTTGAAGAAATAATTTAGGAAAGAGAAACTGTTCCTGTTCTTTTCCGTTCATTCAAAAAATATTGAAGTATCTAATATGTAGCAGGTGTTATTCCAGACATTGAGGATGCAGCAGTGAATAACACAGACAAAACACCTTCCTTTATAGAGCTTGATTCTAGAAGGAAGAGTTAGACAAAAAGAAGTGAAATGTATAGTATCAAATGCTGGCTCCCTGAGAACACCACACAAAAAACATGTTGATGAGCAAAGCTGAGCTTATTACTTAGAGTGGTAAGGGAGATGCTATATTGATCAGATGCCATATTGCCTTTGATAAGGAGGGAGTTCTTTAATGTGAGGGGAGCTTGATTAGAATTAGGTAAGGATGATGATATAATAATTTAGGACTGATGAACATGGCAAGGTGAGGATTGGGGAGGCAGTTTCAAACAATCTGGGAGTTGTTTTCAGACAAAATCTTCCAATTGATATCTATTTCAATGAGTTTTTTTGGATGTTCCTGAAATAATACAGGGACTTTTATGGTCCAGGGCAAAAATTTTCAGCAATAGTAAAATCATATTAATGAAGACAGAGCTAGTAAAGCCCTATTAGTGCAGATAGCCAACAGTAAAGCCATGTTAACGTAAGCTCAGGTAAGCTAATGTTGGTTCATGTTAGTCATTGATGTAAGCTGTGGAGTGTGGATGGCTCATGTCCTCAGTAGATGTTAGAAAGTAATAACTGCTAAGGAGTAAAGCAGGGAAGGAGATGTGAAGTGCCTGGGTGTGGTGATAGATGTTTGTGATTTTCTTTCTTTCTTTATTTTTTACTGCATTTATTTTATTTTTATTTGACAGGGCATAATTGTACCCAGTATATAGTTATGGGGTACAATGTGATGTTTTGATGTATGTTTGCAATTTTCCTTGGCTTAGGGAGGGAAGGCCTCATTGAGGTGTGGAATTGAGAGCTGAAGGAGTAAACCCAGTGGCTATGTACATGGGTCTCCAGGCAGAGGGAACAGCAAAGGCCAGAGGCAAAAATAGGCATGTGAGCTCCAGGAAGTGCCTGGAGGCCAGTGCAGCTTTGCAGCGGGGCGGGGGAGCCAAGGAACTGGAGTAGGAGATGAGGTCCTAGAGATAAGGCAGGACCTTGGCTTTGGTTGAGTGAGGTGGGAGCCGTCCATCACCATGTTTAGTTTCGAGTTCTGTGAGGCAGTGTCTTGCTGAACAACCTGAGAAGATTTCTTTGTAGTATTTTAAATCGGGAAGTTCTATTGAGGGACATGATGTAAACAATACAAAGTAACTAAAAGTACATTCTATATGCTATAACCTCTGATCAAAGTTTTAAAAGGTCATATGTGGTTTTTATTTGACTATTTTTTAATAGTATCATCAGCTAAAGGACATTACCCTGGGGACCCTTGGTTATGGAGAAAATGAAGACAATAGAATTGGCTTAAAAGTCTGTAAGCAGCATTACAAGAAAGGGACCATGTTTCCTTCTAATGAGACACTGAATATTGACAACGACATTGAGCTCGGTAATGCAGTGATAATTTCATGATGTGCCTTTATCGTCTTGTGGTAAGAGCAAAAATGCCCTCATGTGCTAGCAACCCCGATGGAACAACATTGCTTTAGTGACAGCTAACCTGTCAGGGGCTGACACTCCAACATTGGCCTGCAGAGGGGCTTTGGCTCAGGAAACTGTGGGGTTGTGGCCATGGGACAGGGACAGCATTTGTGGATCTATTTGGAGCAACTCAAAAGATAGTTGGTTTTGGGGTATATTCACAGGTCCTGTTTTTGGGGTTTTTTCCCCTAGGAGGGGATGATTAGGCTTTTTGAAAAAATGGTCTGTATGTGTTAAATGAAATAATATATGTAAAGATGCTTTGTATACTTGTTTTTATTATTTGTAAAATACAGAAATGCTCTTCAAAGGTGAATTGTGATTAATAACTCATTTTCTCTCTTAGGAGATCCCTTGGCAACAAGTTAATGGCTAATCAAGTCAAATTGTTTTGTGCTATTTTGTTAAGCATTTAAGAGCATACTGTATATAAATGCGAGGTGTTTGGCTTAAGACTTTTTGTTTTTTTTTAATACTGTTTTATTATTTTATTGTTTTGTTATTCACTCAACAAACCTCTGGTGTGTAGTCATCATGTCCAGAGCACTCAGTTTTATGTGCTGGGATTGCAAAGATTAATCAGTTGTGGCTCCTCAAGTACTAACAGTTCAGGAGTAGGGATTCTAACAGCAGTTTAAATTTAGAATACTTTTATTAAAATTAGAGTTTCACATTGATGAGTTCATTTGATCGTACTTCCTATAATCTGATCTTAAGGTGCCTTGATGACACAACAGGAGAATACCCTATGAGACAGAGGTTTTAATTTTTCTATAGGCTGCCCACTCAGAATCTCTTCGTGAGTAAATGTGTCATGTGCTCTTGACTCTGAAAGAACCAGCCCATAAGCCAGCACATGTGGTATCTGGCTCCCACGGTGCTTTCAGAGACCATCTAGAGGAGAGTTACCTGGTTCTGTAGCTGGCAACATTGAAATGTCACTTGTCACTTGTCTTATCTCCCTGGAAGCTTCTGCTAACTTGAGATCTATTTGGTAGTCCACCTACAGGGGCTAATCCTGTTTTAATCTTTTACCTGGGTGGTCAGCTATGCTCTTCCCTGTAGGTGATTCCAGTAACTGTGACAGGAGGACTTGTCCTGTTACCCTCTGTTTCAAGTAAGCCATCTGTCCCTTGTCCTTTTAAAAATATGTGACTCTAATTGGATGTACCATACAGTGGTTTCCCAGTGATTCATATACTGTTTTTCTCAATTGATTTTTCTTGGAAAATGGATTAAAGAAATGTGACCAAAGTCATACCAGTGGCTAGATAGCACTGGCAATGCTGGAAAACAGGATTTATTTCCTGCCCATTGGGCAGTCTTTCCCTTGTTCATTTCATTGCGCTCAGAATATGGACTATGTTTAACTAAATGGACAGAGGTTGGTTATTAATGAGTTTATTTTAACAGAAATTGCTTAAATATGTTAATTGTATTCTTTGACTTATTAAATATAACTTGTCAAAGAGAATCTTCTGACATACCCAAAAGGTATAATGAAGATTCTTCAAATATGTGATACTAGATTTTAGGCCTTCTTTCCTTGGATATGTTGAAGGAAGCCTGCAGATCCAAATAAGATTGAGTTTGACTTCATTCATTTGGCACTGTAGTTGATGTAGGTGAATTAGCAGAAGCTGTTCCAGATTAACTACTTATGAATTTTGCACTATCTTTACTATTATGGGAATCATCCTTCAGTGTTCTAAACACAGATATTTGCCTACACGCCCAGCGTTCCTGGCGGGCTTATATTTAGCTGCACAGCTGATTGTGTAGATCAAGATTAGTGTTTCCCTTAATTTATGCTAATGGGTATATCCCTCCTGGTTCTGCCTCGAGAACTACAGCTTTCCAGGTCAGCCTCATTGGGAGGACTGTTATGAATCCTGTCAAAAAAATGTTTGGCTGGGCGCAGTGGCTCACGCCCTTAATCCCAGCACTTTGGGAGGCCAAGGCGGGAGGATTACATGAGGTCGGGAGTTCGAGACCAGCCTGACCAACATGGAGAAACCCCATCTCTACTAAAATTACAAAATTATCCAGGCGTGGTGGCACATGCCTGTAATCCCAGCTACTCGGGAGGCTGAGGCAGGAGAATTGCTTGAACCCAGGAGGCAGAGGCTGCGGTGAGCCAAGATTGCACCATCCATCGCACTCCAGCCTGGGCAACAAGAGCGAAATTCCTTCTCGAAAAAAAAAAAATAACATTTGAGTAACTAACATTTTAATATAGTGTTTCATTTTCTGTAATACAATTTTTGAGTGTCTTATATTCTTTTCCACATGTTCTTAGCATGAGACATTATGACCATTTCATCATTTTTCCTGCTGTTTTAGGAACAGCAGGAATCTACCCTCCCCCTGAAAGGATTATTTCTTTGGCTGGAGTATTCTGTGAGATTCATATTCATTTGAGTTATGAGGCTGTTACTGTAGATATCAGTTTATTCTGCTTGAAGTTTGATGTTTTACTTAGGGCTTTTGCTATCTTGAAAAAACAACACAAAACGAACAAACTCAGTTTTGTTGCTACCACGTGCTTGGCGGCCTCGGCAGCAATGGCTATAAGTGGAAAGTCAGCCAGACTTCAGAGAGTTCTGAATGAATATTTAAACAAAGTGTAACCCTATAATTACAAAATCACACAAAATTTGAACAACCAAACAGACTTTTATAAGGCAAATTTTACAAATAGTGTAAAATTAACTAACAGAATTCTGTTCAATTTCTGTGAATCTAAGATACCATTTTTTTGAAAGACTCATCTGCTTTAGAGATGCTTAAAAGTAAAAAAAGTTGCATCTTAGAATAAATGAAATACAGGAGAAAAAGGCCTAGGACAGTGTGTGGCACAGAGAGCTTGAACATGTTTCTTCTTTCAGAATATAGTTGTTTACTCAGATCAGTTTAACCTTTTTTTTTTTTTTTAACTTCACCTTAGAATAAGAATGTTAGAGGTAGGAGGACCTTAAATATCATCATTTTGACCTTTACAGTTGAGGAAACTGATGCTCAGTCAAGGTAAGCAACTAAGTCATGTAATGATTTAGTGACAGTAGGTCTTTCCTACTGAAAACCCAGCAACATGGGCATCAGCTGGGAGTTTATGAGAAATGCAGAATCTCAGGCCATGCCCTAGAGCCTCTGAATCCAAAAGTGCTTCTTAGCAGCAAGCTCCCCAAGTGGTTCACACACGTTAAATGTTTGAAGCACTGGTTCAGTGATCTCCAGCTAAAGATCTTTGACTTCACATAGACATCTTTTTTACTGACTTCATCCAATTCTTCACTGTCCATCACCACCTCCTGCCTTCAGTGCCTTCTGGATCCTACTTCGAAATCTTTGTGCATCAATATCACATTACAAAAGCTGTCAGAATGCTTGCCTCTCCTCCCTTCTCTACTGGATCCACTCAATCACCATTAGTCCCCAGCCTCTTCCATCCCTGTGTCCAGCTGATGCTTACTGGAGAAGTGTGCCAGATAGAAAGAACACCCTCATCTTCTTGCCATCATGTCTTCAAAGCTTCTTGCATAACTTCTTTCCACTTCTTTTCACCCTTGTGTTACAAAGGAATACAGAGGTGAGGCCACAGTTAAAACCCTCACCAGAGCAGCGGGACACACTCCTTTCAGTTTCTGGGGAGTTGTGCCCTTTCTCTAGAAAGGTGTACCCAAATTTGCATCTCAAATCCAAACTTCCCTGAGCTCCACGCTCCTCATATATCCAACTGACTATCTGACAACTCCGCTGTGTTGCCTAATAGGAATTTCAAAACTGCTGTGTCTAAAACAGAACACTTTTAGCCTCCCTCATCTCTCTACCTACCCTGTGGCCCAAGTTGTTTCTTTCTTAGACTTCCCGATTTTGAAAATGATACCAACATTTTCATATCATACTGTAATAACCTTGGTTATTCAAGCCCTGTACTTGAAGTTGTCAGTTTCCCCATTTTCACTGCCACCATTGTCATCCAAGCCACTACTTGCTTAGATGGTCTCCCTGCTTCTGGTCTTGCCTCCATCAGCCTCTTCCCTGCCCTGCAGAAACTGCAGTGGTAAATCAGGTCATACCTCTTCCAGGCTTAAAAATCATTAGTGGCTTCCCATCCCATTTAGAATAAAATCCACAGGTCCTTTTAGAAACTAACCTCCTGCCTGCCTCTCCAGACCCCTGTCCTCACATTTCTGTTGTAGCATCCTTTCTGTTTGTTGAGCAAGCCAGGCTGTTTCTTGCTTGGAGGCCTTAGTGCTTGATTTTTTTTTTTTTTTTTTTCCTATTTGGATCTATGCATAGCTGGTTCTTTTTCCTTTTAGGAAAAAGGTTTCAGTTCAAACATCTTTTGCACCTTTAAAGTCATTCCCTAACTATCTTTCCTAAGGTGGACTCTCCCTCTGTATTAGTCTGTTCTCATGCTGCTAATAAAGACATACCCAAGACTGGGTAATTTATAAAGGAAAGAGGTTTAATTGACTCACAGTTCTGCAGGGCTGGGGAGGCCTCAGGAAACTTACAGTCATGGTGGAAGGGGAAGCAAACACATCCTTCTTCACATGGTGGCAGGAGGGAGAAGTGCAGAGCAAAGTGAGGAAAGCCTCTTATAAAACCATCAGATCTCATGAGAACTCACCCATTATCACAAGAATAGCAGCATGGGGGTAACTGCCCCCATGATTCAATTACCTCCTACTGGGTCCCTCCCACGACATGTGGGGATTATGGAAACTACAATTCAAGACGAGATTTGGTTGGGGACACAGCCAATCCATATCACCCTTTTAGTTATTCTTGTTCACTTTATCTTCAAAGTACTTCTCACACTGTGAAATTATCTTGTATATATTTTTGCTTATTGTTATTTCCCCCACTAGAATGTGAGCTCCATGAAGATGGTGACCGTGTCTGTCTTGTTCATTGCTTTAGCTTCAGTGCCTAGCACAGTGCCTGGCTTTCAGCAAATATTTACCGAATAAACGAATGAGTTGAGTACGGAGCCTGGGTCTTTGATATTCTTCTAAAATATGTGCTCAGAGGTCAACCTCCTCAGTGCACTGGTAGAGCTCAGGCTCTAGAACCAAGCACAAGTAGATTTAACTTTTGGATAGCGAGTAGCTACCTGTATGACCTTGAGGAAGTTTCTTGGCCTCTCTGGACCTTGGTTTGTTCATTTGTGAAATGACAGTAATAGTGCCTATCACACAAGATTGCTTTGAAGATTAAATGGGATGATGCATTAATTGAGATAATATATAAAGTCCAACACAGTGTCTGGTATGGAGTTAAGTGCCCAATATGTTTTTGCTATTTCTATCATCAGTCTTTTCCTCCCTACAAACAAGTTTCTTTTGACCAACTGCCCTCACTGTACTCATTAAGGTCTAATCAGGAAAACCAACATTGAATTGTTTTCTGACACTAATACTCCATCTGCCAAACACAGGGAGACATACTGTCTGCAAATGTCTTTTAAAAATATTATCTCTATTGAGTTGTCTGTTCAGCTCTGGGCCCTGTTTTTGGCTCAGGACATCTAATTTTCAGTAAACATAAGTGTATCCTGTGTATCAGGACATATTTTGAGTGCCAGCTAGATGCTAGGCAGTGGGCGTTTAGCAAGGTGCAACAAAGTTGTGCTCTTGATCTCAAAGACCTTATACTCTACTTGGAAGGATAAATAGGCAAATGAAGAGTTGCAGTTGTGGAATAACGCTTTTAAAGAATCAGCCAGTGAGTTTTCCAAGATTCATGGACACCTACTAGGTGCCAGGCACTGCACAAGGCCCCAACTGCACAAGGCCCCGACTTTTCCATTTCAAAGTCAGCATGGAAGGGGCAGCAACAGCCTGGGCGAGGGTCACCCATGCTGGTTTCATACCAATTCTGTCACTAGGTTTCTGTGGCCTTAAAGGTGCTTGTCTTTAGAGCTCCTTGTTTCCTGCTTTGTAAAACAAGGGTGTTAGCCTACACAATAATGAGACTAATTTTTATGTGAGGTTCTTGGAATCATTCTTCTATCATTTACAGCTCATAATTTGTTTTTACTTGAATACAACCTGTGTTCTTTTTCTTTCTCTTTATTTTTTTTACTTTGAAAAAGTGCCAGACTTACCAGAAAAGTTACAAAATAGCACAAAAATTTCCTGTGTACCCTTCATCCAGATTTCCCCAATACTAACTTTTTTTTTTTTTTTTGGAGATGGAGTTTTGCTCTTGTCACCCAGGCTGGAGTGCAGTGGTGTGATCTCGGTTCACTGTAACCTCTGCCTCCCAGGTTCAAGCAATTCTCCTGCCTCAGCCTCTTGAGTAGCTGGGATTACAGGCACCCACCACCATGCCCAGCTAATTTCTGTATGTTTATAGAGACAGGGTTTCACCATGTTGGTCAGACTAGTCTCGAACTCCTAACCTCATGATTTGCCCACCCTGGCCTCCCAAAGAGCTGGGATTATAGGTGTGAGCCACCGCACCTGGCCAGTACTAACGTTTTATCACATTTGCTTGATCATTCTTTCTATGCATAAACATTTCTCCTGGAGGTGCAGACATGCTGTTCCTTTGCCCCTAAATACTTCAGTGTGCATTTCCCCAAAAAGAGAACATTCTCCTGCACAACCACTATACAGTCCTCAAAATAATGAGTTAACATTAGTACAATACTATAATCTATAAACCCTATTCACATTTCATAAATTTTCCTAATGTTCTTTATCATAAAATGAAAACTGCACTCAACTCCAGGATCCTATTCAGGATAACATCTGGCATTTAGTTGTCATGTCAAGTCTTTTTAGTCTAAAGTTTCTTGGATTTTGTTTAACTTTTATGATATTGATACATTTAAAGAGTAGAATGTCTCTCACATTGGGTTTTTCTGTTTCTTCATGACTAGATTGGGGTTATACATTTTTTGGCAGGAATACCACACAAGTGATGTCATGCTTCTCAGTTCATTGTATCAGGAGGTACATGTCTGTTTATCTCATTATTGTGATGTAACTTTGATCACTTGGTGATCAAAGTTGTGGTGCCTGCCAGGTTCTCCACTGTGAGGTTACTATCATTTTTCCTGAATAATTGGTAAGTATTTTCTAGGGAGATACTTTGAAACTCCCTAAGTAATCTGCTTCTTGTCACACTTTTGCCCACTAGTTTTAGCACCCAATTCCTGCCTGAAACAACCATTTCTTGTTCTTTCATTGCCCTAGATTGTGTTCACTTAGACCTTCAGGACCTTTCCAAGGACCCTCCGGACTGGAAGAACTCATCATTCTTCAGACTGGAATTTTATCGGTAAATACATTTTAAAGCGTTATTCCCCAAGAGATGAGGGTGGGAGAAGGATAATAGTATAGTAAGATTATGACAATTTATACCTTTCAATATATTTTATTCAGGCTCTTACAGGTTGAAATCTCCTTTCATCTTAAAGGCATTGACCTACAAACAATTCATTCCCGTGAGTTACCAGACTGTTATGTCTTTCAGAATATGGCAAGTATCTTTGTTTTACTATCCACTTCCTTTTATTTTTCCCTACACTTTTTGTTGATGCAGGGTATAAAACGCAGCAGCCTACAGATGTGTTAAATGCAGTTGTGTTTAAAACAGATGTAGTGATACAATATGGTACTTTTTTTTTTTTTTTCCGGAGACATAGTCTCGCTCTGTCACACAGGCTGGAGTGCAGTGGCGAGATCTCAGCTCACTACAATCTCTGCCTTCCAGATTCAAACAGTTTTCATGCCTCAGCCTCCCGAGTAGGTGGGATTACAGGCATGTGCCACCACACCTGGCTAACTTTTTTGTATTTGTATTAATAGTAAAGACAGGACAGAGTTTTGCCACATTGGCCAGGCTGGTCTCGAACTTCTGGCCTCAAGTGATCTGCCCACCTAGGCCTCCCAAAATGCTGGGATTACAGGCATGAGCCATCATGCCCAGCCTCATTATGGTATTGTTGATCCAGAGACCATTACTTCTGAAGATGAAACAAGCCCTTTTCAACTTTTAAAAACTAAGTTTCTACATTGAAAAGAAGAGCTTAAACAATTGGCTTTGACTTTCTACTCTCCTAATACATTTTTAAAATTGTTTATGCCGGGTGCAGTGGCTCATGCCTGTAATCCCAGCACTTTGGGAGGCCGAGAGGCGGATCACGAGGTCAGGAGATGGAGACCAGCCTGGCTAACACGGTGAAATCCCGTCTCTACTAAAAATACAAAAAAATTAGCTGGGCGTGGTGGTGGGCGCCTCTAGTCCCAGCTACTAGGGAGGTTGAGGCGAGAGAATGGCATTATCCCGGGAGGCGGAACTTGCAGTGAGCCAAGATCGCGCCACTGCATTCCAGTCTGGGCGACAGAGCAAGACTCCGTTTCAAAAAAAAAAAAAATTGTTTATGAAGGTGTTTTAAATGTCTATAGTACTCTTCCCAGCTTTAGAGGAAGGTCTTTGCAAGTGTTGTAGCAGATGTTTTCAAACCTCGAGGCATAAACTGCTCCACTGATGGGAAGACCAGTCTGCAAAGTAGCAGTTGTTTCTCTTTTTATTTTGGGAGGGGGCATGTATGTATAGTAGAAGAGATGGTGCACTTTTATGGGGAAGTAAGCTGCCTTCTCATTTTCATAGACTTTCTTTCTTTGTCCTTCTCTCCTTCCTTCTTTTTCTCCCTCCCTCCCTTTCCTGTTCCTTAAGGGACTAAACTGAATGCCTAGCTGAAAGTTGTATATACTGTCCTTTAGCAATTCAGAAGAGTGTTTCATTCAACTATCAATAAATACTTAATGAGTCCTTACTATGCACCAGGCATTTTGCTATGCCCTAGAGGCACAGTGGCCCTCAGGAAAGCTTACAGCCTAGTGGGGGAAACAGAAAAACAAGTAAATGAAATAAAAGTAACTACTGATTGTGATATGTGATAAGGAAGAATGTCTCCAGCTGCAAGCTCTCTGGGGTGGGTGGGCCAGAGGAGCACTGGGAGCATCTGCAGGGATGAGGGAAAGGCAGGAGAGGAGCATGGAGTTTGGTCTGCAAGGATGAGGTCATTGATGACTTTGTCATGATATGGTCAGAAGTGTGGGTTTAAAAATATTGGCTTTTCATTTTTATTTTGTTCTTTGGACTTCTTTCTGCTTTGAGAAAAGCATTTTAGGGGCCCTCCTGGAGGAAACAGAGACCTTGAGTGCCAGTGCTAGTGAAGGTTTAGTTATAACTTACAGGTATAGAAATGAAGATGGTATGGTTTAATTCTCAAACCTCTGGTTTGAGTGTGTGATCTTCTTGGGCAGACTTGGCTTGTGTTCAGAGACAGGCAGGTGCATGTGGATTTGATCATCTACATATCCGCTCTCCAAGCTCTGCCAGTGAACTTTTTGGTTTTCTTAATGTGTTCACCCTAATAAGTACTTGGCATATATCACTTATAAACTGTAAATGATTTAAATGATTGATTTAAATTTCATAAGGTAGAAGATTGAGGGCATTTGGACATCTTAAGTTCAGCCTGCAGTCTTGGAGCAATCTTTGTTCTTTCTGAAAGCATTATATGTAGCTCTTGAAACAAATAGAAAAATAATTTGTAGCCTAACAAAAACTAGAATTTCATACCCAAAGAACTAAATTGAAGGAAATGTTTTAAAATTCAATTCAGAATAATAAATGAGATCATTGTGTTCTTTCAAAGATTAGTTAATTTTGGTTTTTATTCCTAGGACTGTTTGTCTGTTTTGCTCTAGGACTTCTCTGAACCAGATATCTGATATCCTGTATTTAGTAAAACTTCACATATTAGCCCTTTTAATCATATTTGTTTCATTAATAACAGAAAGTTGTGAAGAAATCCTGTGATGTGAACATTTTCATTGGTATAATTCTCTTTGTTGCCTTAATTTATGTCTTTATTGTGAGTTCCTTAGCCTCTAATTGTACTTGTGTTTGTTTTTTACAATTTTGACTTAAAACCTTCATACTAGAGGACTGGGAGATTTATATAGCACCATTCCAATACTGGGGTATTCTGAATTTGATTATAAACTTACCTGTACTGTTGAGTTTTATGCTTTCACATGTTTTCATGATCACAATTATTGTTTGTTTCCAGTTTTAGTGCTCCCTCAAGCATTTCTTGAAAGGCTGGTCTAGTGGTGAAAATTCCCTCAGCTTTTGCTTGTTTGGGGAGGGCTTTATTTCTTCTTCATTTCTGAAGGATGGCTTTGCTGGATATAGTATTCTTGACGACAGGTTTTTTTTTTTTTTTTTTCTTTAAACCCTTTGAATATATCATCTCATTCTCTCCTGGCCCGATGTTTTTCTCTTGCAGCTTTTTTTTTTTTTTTTTTTTTTTTTTTTTGAGACAGAGTCTCCATCTGCCGTCCAGGCTGGAGTACAGTGGCACCATCTCTGCTCACTGCAAACTCTGCCTCCTAGGTTCACGCCATTCTCCTGCCTCAGCCTCCCTAGTAGCTGGGATTACAGGCATGCGCCACCATGCCTGGCTAATTTTTGTATTTTTAGTAGAGATGAGGTTTCACCATGTTGGCCAGGATGGCCTCCATCTCCTGACCTTGTGATCTTCCTGCCTCGGCCTCCCAAAGTGCTGGAATTACAGGCATGAGCCACTGCGCCCAGACTACTTGCAGCTTTTAGAATTATCTCTGTCTTTGACTTTTGACAGATTGATTATAATGGGCCTTGGAGAGAATCTTTTTGGGGTGAATCTAATTGGGGATCTTTGAGCTTCCTAGATCTGGATGTTCATATCTCTCCCAAGACTTGAGAAGTTTTCAGCTGGGTTATTTGAAAAGACCCGTCATCAATTTCAGAAATTCTTTTTATTTTATTTATTTATTTGTTTTGAGACAGAGTCTCAATCTATTGCCCAGGCTGAAGTGCAGTGGTATGATCTCAGCTCACTGCAACCTCCGCCTCCTAGATTCAAGTGATTCTCATGCCTCAGCCTCCCCAGTAGCTGGGATTACAGGCACCTGGAACCGCACCCAGCTAATTTTGTATTTTCTATTAGAGGTGCTGTTTCACCATGTTGGCCAGGCTGGTCTCAAACTCCTGACCTCAAATGATCCACCTGCCTTGGCCTTCCAAAGTGCTGGGATTACAGGCTTGGCCACTGTACCCGGTCAGAAATTCATTTTTCTTTGCTCGATGTAGTCTGTTGTTGAAGTTCTCCATTGTAATTTTTTTATTTCACTCATTGAGTTATTCAGCTCCAAGATTTCTGTTTGGTTCTTTTTTATGCTATGTCTCTCTGTTGAATTTCTCAATCAAATCATAAATTATTTTCCTGGTTTTATTGAATTGCTTGTATTCTCTTATATCTCACTCAGCTTTCTTAAGATCATTATTTTGAATTTTTCAGGCATTTTCTTTGGGTCCTGCTACTTGAGAATTATTATATTCCTTTGGGTGTCCTGTTTTCTTGCCTTTTCATGTTTCTTGTGTCCCCACGTTGTTATCTATGCATCTAGTGAAATAGTTGCTTTTTCCAATTTTATGAATAGCTTTCCTAGGGATAGACTTTTTCCTGTAGATGGGCCCTAGAGTGTTGGTTGACTATAGTGCATTGGCTTTGGTTCTGGGCATACTCAGTAGTGTGGTGTCCATGCAGTTTGTTCAGTTGTGCTCCTTGTCAGTGATGTCTGTGATTGGCTCAGTAGCCTAGGCTGAGGGAGTTTTTAACAGCAATGGCACAGTTTTGCTGGAGGCAGGGATGCCAGATTGGTTGTTGGGCTGGACATGTGCATACATAATAAGCAGCAGGCTGTGTGGCAGGCTCTTCAACTGGGTAGGGGCAATTGCTGCCCAGCTGGCTGTCAGGTCAGGTGTGCATGGTTGTGGTGGGCCAGTAGGCTGTGAGGCAGGCTCTTTAGAGATGTGAGGTCACTGCTGAACTGGCTGTCAGGCCTGTGTGGGGTGTGGAGAGATAGCCAACTGTGTGGCCCAAGTGTGCACAAGCACAGCACACCAGCCAGCTGTTTGGTAGCTTCCTGCTGTGCAGTTCTGCCTGTTCCCAGGGTCAGGGGCAGGAATGGGTGCTGCATGGATTCAGATGTCAGGGTCTCAGATGTTCCATCAGGTCTAGGCTCTGGGCAGCCAGGGTCATGGTGTTGCAGGCACCTGTGTAAACATGGTGGAATAATGGCAGGACTTCAGGAATGGAGAGAGACAATGAGTACTGGCCCCCAGGGCAGAACACACTCTGTTCGCGATCTGGTCTCTAAATGGCGTCATGCCATAGCAGCTTAGGTCACAGAAGTGAAGAGTGCGCACGATGTGTGCTTCCACTCTGGGGCAACATGGCTGCATGAACTCCCAGCACCTCTCCAAACCGGATTCAAAGCCTGTGAGGACTGGAGGGCTCTCCTGCAGCAATGACTGCTGGCATTCTGTGGCCGTAATGAGGACCACTGGAGTCTCTAGCCTAACGTTTTCCTGTCCAAAGAGATCCCCCTGGCTCTAAGCTGATCCTGGCTGGGGAGACAGTGTGGCAGAGGCCAGGTGCCTTGCTCCCCTTCCTGTGCTGCTGTCCTGGGCTTTCATGCTCCACAGCATTTTGCTGCTACCCTGGTGCTCTCCAGTGTACTTCTTCAGTGATTTCAGTCAAAATATAGTTGTTTATTCATTATCTTGGTCCCTTTGCGTGTGTGTGTGTGTGTGTGTGTGTGTGTGTGTGATGGGGGTGGGGTGCAGGAAATGAATGTCAAGTAATTCTAGTCAGCCATTTTGCTGGCCTGTGTAATTCTCCTTGGATCAGCACACTATTTGGATGCCAGTGATTTTTTTTTTTAAGCAGAGTTGATCTAACATGTTATACTTTCTTCTATGTTGTAATCTCTCTATACATTTGTGTCTCCAGATTATCTTTGACAATAAAGCTCACAGTGGCAAAATCAAAATCTATTTTGACAGTGATGCCAAAATTGAAGAATGTAAAGACTTGAACATATTTGGATCTAGTAAGTATGCTATATACTTGCCCATGGGGATTATAGATGATTTTTAACACTTTATTTTGGGGCTTGGGTATTTAAATGGTTTGTTTGCGTGGTAATAGGAAGAAAACCACGTCTTGAGCATTAGATTCTGTAAAAAATATCCCAAAGCCTTATATTTTTGTTTAATTCAGCAAATGTTTACTATACACCTCTTAGAAAAGGTAGCATGACTGAGTGGTTAGGAGCTTAGCTCTGGAGCCAGATTGCCTGGGTTTCAGTTCCAGTTCTATTTACTGTGCCTGTGATCTTGGACAAATTACTTAACCTGTCTGTCTCAGTATCTTTCTGTGTAAAATGAGAGTAATAGTATAGGTTGAGCATCCCAAATCAGAAAAATCTGAAATCACAATCCTCTGAAATTTGAGACATTTGAGCACTGACATGACCAAAGCTCAAAGGAAATGCTTATTGGAGCATTTTGGATTCTGAATTTTTGGATTTGGGATGCTCAACCTGTAAGTATGAGGCAAGTATTCCAAAATCAAAAGAAATCTGAGATATTTTTGGTCCCAAATCATTCTGGATAGGGCATACTCAGCCTAAACTTACCTTTCAGGATATTGAATATTAAATGAATTAGTATATAAAGCAAAGTACTGAACACAAGAGTTGGCACATATTAATTGCTAGGCATTATGGGAAAAGGAAGAAAATGCCTGAGTGAGGGAGACTGACATGCTAATAAAATCTGTGATGTGTTATGGAGAGAAATAAGGGTATACATACAAAAAGCATGAGGAGAAAAAAAACAAAGGTTAAGTTTGAGTGGGGCAGAGTGGGAAAAGAAATGATTCTTGGAGAAGATATGCTTTGATCTGAGCCTTGGACAGTGGGGAAGGATCAGGGCCTCCAGAGCCCAGAGAGCAACCGCTGCAAATGCTGAGTCATTTACTCAGTCATCGCTGGGAAAACATCACTTAATCCACATGTTTAAAATGGGCTACTGCTGAGCATGGGGGCTCACACCTGTAATCCCAGCACTTTGGGAGGCCTAGGCAGATGGATCACTTGATGTCAGGAGTTCAAGATCAGCCTGGCCAACATGACAAAACCCTGTCTCTACTAAAATTACAGAAATTAGCCGGGCATGGTGGCACACGCACCTGTAATCCTAGCTACTTGGGAGGCTAAGGCAGGAGAATTGTTTGAACCCGAGAGGCAGAGGCTGCAGTGAGCCGAGATCACACCACTGCACTCCAGCCTGGGCAACAGAGTGAGACTTTGTCTCAAAAATAAGTAAAATAAATTTAAAAAATTAAAATGAAATAAAATATAATGGGCTACCTATGGAACCTGTTCCATTTGCTCAGTAAAGAATTGGGATGATGTTAATGATGGATGCTCAGTACTTTTTATTTTGCAAATTTTGTTTAAATGACTTTCCTTTTGACCAGGTTATCAGAATGAAAGAAAATATAAAATACCTGTGGCTCCTGTTTTAGAGTTGTTTTAAATTATATTTGATCTGTCGCCTGCTGCTTTTCAGATGTATGATATGTCCTGATGATTTGAAGTTTTGGTTTCAATAATTTCACCAACTGACTTAAGCCTCCGATTATAGTTTTGGTTTCTGTTAAAAAGTGGTTACTATTCCCCAGCATACACCACTCTCTTACAGACACGCAGAGATCAAGGGCATATTTTCTAATTAGGTCCAAGTATAGGTTGCAGTTTTCTGTGAAAAGAAACTAACCTTTGTCAAATATATGATTTGGAACATCATTATAAAGATCAAAATGATGGAAATTTCCAAACTAGGCAGTCAAATGCATTTCCAGAACAGTGAGTTTTTCACTTCTGCCTACAGCCCTCCTTGCAACATTAGGGGTTTTCCTAGATTGTGCTCAGAAGAGAGTATCTCTAGCCCCCTCCTGTGGCCAATGGGGAGAAACACAAGCCTCCTAGACGATTGGGTAAAAGCTCTTTAAGATTTACATATTCTTCTAGAGCTGTGTCTTAAGAAACCAGGTTCTATCACTAGGAGAATGTGAATTTAAAATAAGATGATGTGATGTGAAAGCGTTGAAAAAATTATGTTTGGAAACCATCTTAGGAAATGGACTTTTTCCCCTATATGAAGCTGTCTGGTGGATTGAGATTGCCTTGGCTTTGGGGGAAGTGGACAAGGACAAGGGTGACATCTGGTGGGACACTTACACTATTTCTAAAAGTTCAGAGGCTCATTCACACCCACACGCTAACCCCCAGGCTCCTCTCTCCTTCGTCATTACCCATATTGAAGCAAATGCAGGTGAATGTCCTTTTTCACATACAAACCTCGTGCTGCCTTTTGTGACTCTCAAGTCCCCTTTCTAAATGTGCCATGTCTTCATTTAACTTGGTTTCATAAACACAGGAATTTGGAGATGAGGAGCTTGGGGAGGAATTAGCGGGATTCCTCTTTGGCGGGATTCCCCAATGATGGGTGATACAGATTGTGGTTTTTTTTGAGATGAAGTCTTGCTCTGTCACCCAGGCTGGAGTGCAGTGGCACAATCTCGTCTCACTGCAACCTCCACCTCCTGGGTTCAAGCGATTCTTCTGCCTGAGCCTCCCAAGTAGCTGGGACTACAAGCACACACCACCACACCTGACTATTTTTTGTATTTTTAGTAGAGATGGAGTTTTATCATATTGGCCAGGCTGGTCTCGAACTCCTGACCTTGTGACCCGCCCACCTCGGCCTCCCAAAGCGCTGGGATTACAGGCGTGAGCCACCACGCCCGGCCAAGATATTCATAAAATACATATTTTTAGCATACCAAACCAGTCTTCTCAGTAATTCAAAGAAAAACAGAATCCTATACTGGATTCTGTTAGGAGGACTGGTTTCTGTTTCTAAGCCTGCTTGTTTTCCCATCTGTAAACAAAGTCCAATACAAGCTGCCTTGGAGATTTGTGTTCTAGTTATATGTCAGAAAGGAAAGTACTAGATGCTGTCCTTGCATTTCATAAGATTTTCAGCTTTATCTTCCCAAGAGCTGCCTATGTTTCCTCTGCTCCATTCCATGGATCCAAGGGAAAAAAAATCTTGCATTATGCTAGAGCTAAGTTGTTTTCTTACCTACCCATTAGATGATACCTCAAGATAACTTTCTTGACTGTAAATGGCTAAAGGTAAATGTAAGTGCTAGGCACTGGGCACTATTCTAACAAGCACTTCACATAGACAGTTCTACCTGGTTCTCATGACAGCCTCAGGAACGGGTACACTTGCCCTCCCCATTTTGTAGGTGGCACATCTGAAGCTTAGTAAGATGAAATCATTTGCTCAGAGAGTTGCATTTACCACGCTGGCTGTCTGCTCACCACCCACTGTAGGAGCTGCTTTGCCCTCAGACACTCATGCCAGTATCACTCACATCTTTGCATTGTTAAGTCCATAGACAGTCTGGCATTTCTCTTCAACGCTGTCTCTGCAGAGGTTTCTGTGGAGGACTCTGACCGCAGTCTCTCCTCTGAAGGTCACCTGTCCCTGGTTTTATTTGCTTCTCCTCTGGCCTTTCTGCTCCGTCCCATTCCTGAGCTCATCTCCTTTTCTAATTCTCAGACGTCGCTCCCCATCCCTGACCGCTGTCCTTCCCAGTGGTCTCTCTGAGGGGCCATCACTCCCATGGCTTTAACTGCCACTGAATAGTCCTCTCTTGTCATGAATATCCAGAGTAAACTCAGTTTACCCAAGACAGGGAACCAGGAATCATTCTTGGTTGTCCTTCTTCCTTATTCCCCAACTTCAGTTAGAGACCAGGCCATGACTCTCTCCATCTCTTACGATTCTGTGCCCTCCTTTGCTCTGCCCCAACTTAGCTCAGACCATCATAAGTTCTAACTTAGATTATTTAGTGGTCTTATGTTCTGCTCGATTCTCTTCATTTATTTGTAAGTATACTGAAGCATTATACTAGCCACAGGTGCTGTATTCAACACTACTGTCTTAGTCTGTTTTCTGTTACTTGTAACAGAATGCCTGAAACTGGCTAATTTATAAAGAAAAGAAATGCATTCTTTCAGTTCTGGAACCTGAGAAGTCTAAAGTCGGAGGACCACTTCTGGTGAGGACCTTCTTGCTGGTTGGGAGTCTCAGTGGAGTCCCAAGGCAGTGCAGGGCATCACATGGTGAGGAGGGGGAGCATACTAGCTCAAGTCTCTCTTCCTCTTCTTATGAAGCCACCAGAGCCATTCCCTTGATAACCCATTAATCTATGAGTGGATTAATCCATTTATGAGGGCAGAGACCTCATGACCCAATCACCTCTTAAAGGCCCACCCTCTCAATCCTGTCATATTGGGGATTAAATTTCAACACGAGTTTTGGAGGAGACAGATAATTCAAACCATAGCAACTACCTGTGGGCCCTGCTTTACAGAGCCTGTCACTTGATGGGGAAGATGGACACTGAATCATAAAATAAGTAACCGCTGTGAGTGTTTGCTATTGTTATTTTCCTTGGCTGTTTCATGGGCTCTTTGTATATGAACTTGCATAATTTTCACGTTTTCTTTCCCAATTTTCATAATGTTCTTGCCCATTCTACACTGTCTCTGTGCTCTGTGCTGTGCTGCCTTTGCAGATGTAATGAAAGGTCAGTGTTTGTTGTGCAGAGGAAAGTAAAGGAGCTCTGGGTATGTGTAGTAACCAAAAACCATGAAAGTATATAGGAGGGGGCTAATAGAGATGAGAATTTAAGGAATTATTTTCTGAGATGGGAGATTTTTCATTTGGAACTTGAGGCTGAAAATAAATAAGCTGAGCTGTGTGTGTGGAGAAGTGCTGTTCCAGGCAGATGGATCAGCATGTGCAAAGTCCCTGAGGCGAGAGCAGGAGAGAAGGAAGACCAGTGTGACTGCAGGGTGGAGAAGGCGGGGGGCAGGCAGGAGAGAGCCGGGCTGGGATCGGAGACACTACTGTGAAGTCTGAGAGAAACTAAGGTTAGATTCATCTCCTTCCCGTACATTCTTCTTGCTGCTGTGTGCTCCAAACCACAAATCTGATTACCACTCCCCTCCTTGCTTCTGTTCCAAGAAGCAATTTTCTCTCCGTATGGAGAAGGCTTATAAGATTGGCACTATGTCCTGGGAAAGTGCACAGTGAGGTTGAGAAGCAGAAGTGGGGATTCTCAGTGGTGGTGGTTTAATTTGTTTGATCTCTTATTAATGGTGAACTGGATGTCTCTGCTTTTATGTGAAAGAACTCAGAGTATGTCAGCAGTTTTGCCTTTTTTTGAATGGAGCCCAAATGGATCACTTTCCGTTGAATTCTATTCTACAGTAAATATTTATATATCAATTTGAGTGCATTTATTAGCAGCTCACTTTTTTTTTTTTGAGACGGAGTCTCGCTCTGTCACCCAGGCTGGAGTACAGTGGTACGATCTCAGCTCACTGCAAACTCTGACTCCCAGGTTCACGCCATTCTCCTGCCTTGGCCTCTTGAGTAGCTGGGACTACAGGCACCCACCACCATGCCCGGCTAATTTTTTTTGTATTTTTAGTAGAGACGGGGTTTCACTGTGTTAGCCAGGATGGTCTCGATCTCCTGACCTCATGATCCACCCACCTCGGCCTCCCAAAGTGCTGGGATTACAGGCGTGAGCCACCGCGCCTGGCCCAGCTCACATGTTTTTAAATGTATAGCTTTATATCAGGGAATGTTTTGCCTTATATATGTACTTCTGAATGAATGCAGTGTGATTTGTTTCTGATATTTACCATTTTGTTTTAACAATAGACAAAACATTTATTGTTTGAACTTCTTTTCACACTGCCATTTTCTTTGGAAATTATTCTCTGGTAAGGTGTGTTTAACATTTGAATTCTGTTTTTATTCCTTAGCTCAGAAAAACACTCAGTATGTCCTGGTGTTTGATGCATTTGTCATTGTGATTTGCTTGGCATCTCTTATTCTGTGTACAAGATCCATTGCTCTTGCTCTAAGGTTACGGAAGGTAAGAGCGTGTTCACATTCTCTTCCTGCCCTCTTGGCCTGCACCCTCAGTTTGCTCAAGCAGTGGACCACTGATGTTGTGCCACCTGCCTTTTCTGGAGACTTTTGACTAAATTAGATTCCTCTGAGTAGTTGCCCCCTGTGAGGCATTCATCAGCCTGAGGTGTAGGAAGTGAGTAAAGGCTCTGAGTATGTCAGGTGGCATCAGATAATTATCCTGCTTAAAACTGAGCTGATATGTACAGACGCACAGTGGTGAACTCTCAGGCTTTTGAATGTTTCCAGAATAACGAGGCCCTCTTCAATTCAGGAGTGATCTGAAGAACAGAGTAATAGCATGTGTGGGTTTCATCTTTTGTCTTCAAATCAGAGTTCATTTTGACAGGGAGGCATGGTAAATGGATTATAATGAAGCATAAAATACTTTATTCTGTTTTTCAAATAGTTTTAAAATTCTCCCTTGAGTTTCATTTTGCCTTTTTACCCTCAGGGCTCTTATGAATATATACTTCTGCTCCCCACATATCTTATTCTGGCTGTGGCATGTGTACAAATGCACACTGGGGTCGGGGAAATCGGAAGTCCACAGAGTACCATTTGTGGAGCAGGGATGTAGTCTGCATTTGATTTTGCCTAATCCTGACCTTTGTCAATGTCCTTTGTAAATATCCACCTCTCTTGCATGCTCCCCGATCTCCTTGATATTATGAATGCAAAGTTAAGGTCCTGTCCCTGCCAAGGTGATGGGGCTCATATTTGAGCACGCACTCTGGAACCGGCCTGCCTGGACACAGATCCTGGCTTCGCCTCTCGGTGCCTCAGTTCCCTTCTCTGGGTGATAGACCTGCTAGTACCTGGTTCATTGGGTTGTCATCGGAATGGATGTGTTGGTAATATGAAAAGTATTTGGAACATACTGTATGTTAGCTATGACAAGAGCCTGCTGGAGTTACCGTGTACGTATTTCATATTTGAGGTAACTTCACAGACAATTGAATGCTTACTCAGATTACGGGGGAAAGTGTGTGCTATAACCTCCACTTTCGAGGTGGATCTGGCAAGTTGGAAAGGCAATGACATGTCCTTTTACAGGTGAGAGCACTGTTTTGCACTTGCCTTCTCCTTCCAGAAGGCAGTGTGGTTTATAAGAAACACTTCTTTAAATGTTTGCCTTAGAGATTTCTAAATTTCTTCCTGGAGAAGTACAAGCGGCCTGTGTGTGACACTGACCAGTGGAAGTTCATCAACGGCTGGTATGTCCTGGTGATTATCAGCGACCTAATGACAATCATTGGCTCCATATTAAAAATGGAAATCAAAGCAAAGGTGAGGGAAGCCCATTTAAAGTCTCTGTTCTTCATCTTCTCCTGGACGGCCACAAGCATCTTAAGACATATGATCCTTTGGAGACAACTTTGATTCTCGTGTCTTCCCTTTTCTCACAATGGCACAAGTGAGGCCTCCCCTGACTTGGTTCCTCGTGAAGGAAAAGTAAGGAAGCCGATGTTCCTTGGAACGAAACTTGGCAACAGCTCCAGAATAATGACAAAGCTTGAGAAGATTGATTATTTGGGCCTCATTTTTCTTTTTAAGTTGCAAAAGGAGCAGCTTATCCATAAACCAGTCCTTTCCCTGAACCTGCATGTCAAGAGCTTGTGGGGAGGATCTGTGACCACTGGGTGCTCTGACAGATGGGGTGAGGGCAGGAATGTCAGACTGCCTGCTAAAGCCTGACCCTTTGTATAACTTAGTTGATTTGATCTCCTACCTAAGCCTCAACTCCTCCTTCACCACACTGTTCTCCTGTCCACTCTCTGCTGTTGGTCAGAGGTCCCACCAGCCATACCTCCTAACCCTGACACGCCTACTCCTCCCCTATCCTGGTTCCCTCTGGCTTTCTTCAGGCTTTTTCTTCTCTGGTCAACTGTGACAGCAGTCTCCTCACCAGCTTTCCCATCTTCTGCTTCATACCTCTGAGATCCATTCACACAGCTGTCAGAGGGACTTTTCTGAAAGTGTCTATCCGGCTGTTACCATCCTTTCTACCTCTTGGGGCCTACTTTGGGATGAAGCAGCTTCCCTTGGCAGCATGGCCTCTGGGGTCAACATCATCCAGCTCTGCCTCTTGCTCCTGCCCCTGCTCTGACCCTGTCCCTCTAGGATGTCTTGTCAGCTTTGTACCTTTGTTCAGCCTTTGTCCACTTATCTGTGGCGCTTCCTCCCAGCCTGTCCTGCAGGCCCGTCTTTGCTCTGGGGTCGTGTCTGTGGTGTCCCTCTGTGATGAGCTAGGCATTGTGTCTTTCACTGCATTTAGCATATTGTATGAGAATCATGTTTGTGTGTTTGTCTTTTCAACTAGCCCTAGAATTTCCTGAGAGCTGGAGCTGTGTTAGCAAATCATGTGGGAGTTTTCTTTCAAAAGCGGCTGAATTGTATTGTTTGGTACTTAACAAACACCATTAATTTATATCCTCGAATGCCTAGGTCAGTGATAAATGCAATTTCTATTTGAGAGTATTATTTGGAAAAAAATTGAGTTCAACCTAAATGTAATTTCTATTTGAGTGTATTATTTGGAAAAAAAATTAGTTCAACCAGTTGAAATACTAAAAGAAAACGAGAAACACATTTGGAATTATATCTGTTTTCTTTTTTTCTTTAAAAAAACCTCTCACTATCACCTATAGGAAGGCAGATAGTTCTTTTTTTATTAATTGGTTTAATGTAAGGTTAATAAGCTAAGTGGAGTCAAATATTTTACTCATTTCTCTCTCTCTCTTTTTTCATTCCTTAGAATCTCACAAACTATGATCTGTGCAGCATTTTGCTTGGGACCTCTACGCTCTTGGTTTGGGTTGGAGTCATCAGATACCTGGGTTATTTCCAGGCGTATAATGTAAGAATGTGGCACTGGGTAGTGCCACTGCAGTTGAGACTCATTTATTCTTTGGGTTCTAATAGCTACGTTTTCATTTCACCCATTCTGTTCATTCTTTTTTTCAGGTGCTGATTTTAACAATGCAGGCCTCACTGCCAAAAGTTCTTCGGTTTTGTGCTTGTGCTGGTATGATTTATCTGGGTTACACATTCTGTGGCTGGATTGTCTTAGGACCATACCATGACAAGGTGTGTAGCACACATTCCTCCTTCTGCACATGGGGCACGTGGGACCCGTGAACATGGGTTTCTAGCATTTACTTGCTTCCTGGTCTTCTCTAGCATGTACCCTTGACATCAGTAAGCATGTATCTTTGTATCCATTTTCTTTTTCCTTTTTTCCTTTTCAGGATATAGAAGTGACTACAGGATATTGAAATAAGAACTGTACAAGACTAGAAAGCATGTATTATACTTGTCTGGGACTGGCTTAAGGGGTCACATGGTTACCCGGTGATCATCAAATGGGAAATGTTTGGGCATGAGATCACTATATTAAAAATGAAAATTAGGAAAATTATTATAAAAAATTTCCAATTTAAAGTATTATGTTTTTCGTCCAAGTTAATTGAGAAGAATGAAGATGGGCAGAGACTGCCTAAAATGACCATAATAGGTTTATGATAGAAATGGTGACACGTCTTGTCTCTGCAGATGGTTTTGATTATAGCATCATCTTTGTGCCTTATTAAAGATCAGTATCTGAATTCTAAACTGTTACCAAACTTCAGTTAGCATTATGATCTCAGGGACATCAAAGTTGTGCTAGAATGTTTTTGTTATAAAATCATGCATTTGATTAGTAGATGCATCAGGAAATGAAACTAGGTAAGCCTTGTTTTTAACCCAGAAAAGTAAAAGGAGTTATTTTATCTTATGGCTTTTCCTCCATTGGGCCTGTGGCAGTTGAAACAACAGAAACAACAAAAATAGCAGCAGCTAACACTTACTGCTTGTGTGTTAGACACTCTCCTGGGTATTTCGGTGCTCTTTCTTATTTACTCCCCACAACAACCCAGGGTACTGTTAGCCTCACTTAGGTGCTCTGCAAGGAGAAAAGAGGTTAAAAATGGTAAGCATTCCTTCCAAGTTTGTATACCAGTTCAGCCTTAAGTTTTGACCTTGTTAGTTGCATTAACCAAAAAATGTGATCAAATCTGGTTTACAAACTGTTATACATGAATCTTAAACCTCTGTGCTGTCCTACCAGAATAACACCGAGTAACCTGGCACACTCAGACTTTCTCCTTTTTAGGTGTCACATTTAATATGTCTAGAGAGAATTACTGTTTTTCCTATTTGAGATAATATATAATTAACAAAGTGACAATCTCTGGGTTGGTAGTAAATCTTGATAATATTGCTCTTCAAATTTTCTGTCACTGCTTTAAAGGTGACTCATAAGAAAAAATTATTCTTTGTTATGATCTCTCTGATTTGGAGAACTTACTGTCTTAGAGCCTGGAAAAATGTATTTCTTCCTTGCTTTATGCTCTGAAAGCTTTTCCACATCTCTGTCACTAGAGGGCAGTGTTGCACCGTGTGGAATAAATACTGTGCCTGAGGATTCAGCTTTAATTCACTGACCCCAAGGTCACTGGACAAGTGGTCCCATCTCTTTTGCACCCCACCCCCGTCTCCCCTACCTCATCATTATTCTGGAAGGTGCTCAGATAAGGTTGCTTGAATTTTACTAGATGGCTACCATTCTCAACTGCTGTCTGCTAGGCATGGTGCCCAGGATTCTTTATCTCCCTTGCTGTGTTAACCCTTCCCTCCCCTTCTCTGTGAAGAAATCCAATTGTCCTTTTACAGAAAATAGGCACCTTCATATAGTAAATAATATTCCTGAGATTACCCAGCTAGAAAGTGGCAGAGATAGGATTCAAACCCAGGTCAGCCTGACTCCGGTACCTGTGCTTTGACCCATACCCTGTAAGGCTTTTCTTGGTGTTATCTAAAACAGATCATTGCAAGAGAGCATATAGTCTGACAAGAAACAGTCTTGTACTTGGAGATCAACCGTGAGAGGACAGCCATGTAATTGGTCTCATTCTCTCAATGGTGTCAAGGTCACCTCATGGAAAATGAGGTTATTTGTTTTGTGAGCCTGACCGCATTTCCATATGTTCAATTTGTCCTTTCAAAGGATCCAGGTGAAACTGGGATGCTCTGAGCCAGCACTGTCCAAGAAAAATACAATTTGGGCTACAATTGAGAACCTTGCCTATACTGTAAAATTTTCTAGTAGCCACATTAAGAAATACAAACCAGATGAAATTAATTTTAATTATGTATTTTAAGCCTAATATACCCAAAATATTATTTCAGCATGTATTCAGTATGAAATATTGAAATATTTTACATTCCTTCATACTAGTCTTTTTGATGTGGTGGATATTTTGTCCACACAGCACATCTCAATTTGGACTAGCTACCTGTTGGATGCTGGCTATTCACACATTCCTGGTGACTACCATTATGGACACTGCAGCTCTAGACTTATGTCTTTCACTTAATATCAGCTTTCCCTTTATACCCCTGGAGGAGGGGAGGGATAAGGGATGTCTATAGGGTTGCTCGCAGGTTATGGCATCTCTTACCAGGCTGATATATTGGGGAAATGCACAGCTGAGTTAATTCACTGAATTGTACAAGTCAGTTGGGGAAGAGAACATCAGTCTGGTTTTGGAATTTTGTCCTTTTCTTCCCCATATTGCTACCTCTTTGAATCTGAAGTTAGAATATTTTATTGCCCCTTGCATCGTTTCCCCTAAATTAATCCAAGCTGTCAGCAAGTTCAGGTTCTGCCAGTATCTGAATCAGAGGACTTTCAGGTTACCCGAAGCCTTGAAAAGCTAAGCATTCAAAGTGGGCATTTTTGTAGGATTTTTAGAATCACAGCAACCTTGATTGTGAAAGCTAATTCTTTCTTTAAAACAAAACAACTGAAAAGGAGACATCAGGAAAACCATTTGACTGATAACTGGGGTCCCATAACACTTCAACTTCCTGTCTTCCTGTTAGGCATCTGATTTCAGGGGCTCAATGGAAAGGGAGTCAAGATGCAAAAAGGATCCTGCTGATGTGTGTTCCCGGCACTAATGGACTTTGGCGCAATGCCCTTTCAAAATGCCTGGGCACAGAGGGCGAGAGACTGTTGATGTTCTTCCAAACCTCATCTTGAATTATTAAACATTACTCTAATGTGGCTTTTACATTTCCAGAGGACTTTTTTTTTTTCTGTGAGGAATAAATCATAGCCTTGCGATGTCCCCGTTTTACAAATGAGAAGACCAAGGCTTGAAAAGTTATTGGACTTCGCTGATGCATGGGTCAAAGTTCAGCAGACTCTGCATTACATTTTCCTCCTCCCAAGGCCTCTGGTTTTAGCCACGTACCTCTCAGCTAAAACATTTTGCCTAAAGTTTGCATGAGATTCTTGGCACCAGCTCTTAAAGCAAATATTTATGTTGTTCTCTGACATAAGCCATTGCGGGTTATGGTTTCATTGAAATGAAAGGTTTCTGGCCCAACTGCAAACTTATCATTTGTGAAATGAATGGTTGGGTTCTCACTGTGGGGCCAGAGAACCTATGGGGACTCTTTATGGAAATACCCATTTAATATGTATTAAATGTCTACTGTGCACCCAACATTGCTAGGTTCTTACAGACCAAGTTCTTGGAGGGGAGGAACTATGGTTTGTTCCTCTTTACATTCCCAGTGTCCAGCACAGCACATAGACCATGGTAGGTGCCCAGAAAGTTTGTTGAACGAACAAGAAGCAGAGAGAGAGTAGTACCTGCTTTCCAGGGGCTTATGATTGCTCAAGATCCAAAGGAATGCCCTACAAATGTGGTCCTTCTAGACTGGAAGCACATTAGGACCTTGAGTATTTTTAAGCTCACTTTTACTATGAATTTGGCCACTGAAACAGACTCTGGTTCACAGCCACTTCTTGTACAAAATGGCAGGGTGTTACCAAACACCTAAAATTGACTGGGTCTCTGTTTTAACTCTTTGGTGTGTTAAAATAATTCTCATGTTCACAAGAGGAGGGGGCGGTAAAATAATGTTAATGTTGAGACAGATATTGTATGTAGCCTGATAAGTGACTAAACAGAAAATTAAGAAACGAATGTGACATGTACTGATCAACTAGCTATTTGCAGTTGAAACCTGAAGTGTGGACAGTTGTGCTTGGACTTAGAGGTTCTTGAAACTAGAGAAAGGAATTCACTGGATTCCAAAAGAAACTGAGAAATATGAATTATTAATGGTGCTGTCAGAGTTGTAATTGACATCTATAGAAACCAACTTTAATGTCAGTGTTTTCAGCTTTAACTTCAATGTTTTAAGGCTAGTGTTGGGTTTGGAAAATATTTACTCTGGCAACCGCCTGTTTTACTGTTAAATAATCTACATATTGTTAAGTGATCTGTTCATTTGGATATTTCTTCTAGGTCTTTTTGGAGAAGGACTTTAGTTCATCAGAGTTTTTGCTGATGCAGCAAAGCCATGGGTGGGATCCTTGTTTGGGGTGCATTTGTAGACCTTCCCCCTTGGCCACCAACTTTACCTTGCCTGGTCCAGCCATGTGGCTGGAAAGTAAGGCATGGTGTTTGTATCTAGTTGGAGCGTGTGTGTAAAAACAATTAGAAGACCATAGTTCATTCTGTGATTCTTACCGATATGGAGTGCAGAGAAAGGACTAGAGCTGCCAGGGCACTCGGTCTTGAAGTACACTCTGAAATAACCCTTGAACGTTGGTTTAATTGGACGCAGAGAAGAGAAAGAAGAATATAGCAGGTGAGGAGAATAAATTCCATGAGGGAAAAATGTAGGGATGGGCCTGGTGTTGGAGGAGAAGATAAACACAGCATGTTAATACTGTCAAGGAGGAGATGTAATGAGACCACATGAAGGAGGAACTTATCACAACCTTCTTGGTTTAGATTTTTATTTTGCATTCAAACTTTGTATAATCTCACAAGGGAGAAATGACCTGAAAGCCTTCCTCTTAAAGTATGGGTTTTGTTGCAGCTTTGACTGGGGAGGGTGAAGAGATTGGAGTAAAAGAGACTTCCTTGGAAGTTTCTGTAATAATTCAGAAATTCGTGTTGACGTCACAGTAGAGTAGAAAGGGCGAATCGGACAAACGTGATAGGAACAGACAGGCCTTAGAAGACTGAAAATGGGGAAGAGTAATCAGTTCAACACAGAGTTTTAAGGACTTAATTATTTCAGAGTAAATGTTTCTTTGGCAGGAGATTGGAATCACTGACAGAAATAGGGCAATTTAGAAAAAAAGCTCATTTTTTCTGGTTAGGGTGGTAGAAAGTTTTGTTTTGTTGGCATTTTCAAGGAATGGTCTGTTATATAACAAATGCCAGCTGGGCACAGTGGCTCATGCCTGTAATCCAAGCACTTTGGGAGGCTGAGGTGGGCGGATCACCTGAGGAGTTCAAGACCAGCCTGGCCAACATGGTGAAACACCATCTCTACAAAAAATAAAAAAATTAGCCAGACTTGGTGGCAGGCACCTGTAATCCCATCTATTTGGGAGGCTGAGGCATGAGAATTGCTTGAACACTGGAGGCAGAGGTTGCAGTGAACTGGGATTGCAACTGCCTTCCAGCCTGGGTGGCAGAGTAAGGCTCTGTCACAAACAAACAAACAAACAAAACCTACAAATGCTCTCTAAGTGTAGAAAACATAAGAAGATGCTTATGTTAATCAGGAGAAAAACCAGGATCTAAACTTGTTAGATCCTGGTTTTAGATATGTAAAAACTACATAGGGAGAAACTGTGGGAATTGTTAAGAGATTAACTTTGAGAGTATGGAGGGGTGCGTGTGTGTGTGTGTGTGTGTGTGTTTTAAAGAGACATGGTCTTGCTCTGTCCCCCAGGCTGCAGTGCAGTGGCAGAACCTTGGCTCACTGCACCCTGAACCTCCTGGACTCAAGAGATTCTCCCACCCCAGCCTCCTGAATAGCTGGGACTAGAGGCGCACCACCATGCCCAGATAATTTCTGTATTTTTTGTAGAGATGGGGTCTTGTAATCTTTCCCAGATTGGTCGCAAACTCCTGGGCTCAAGTGATCCTCCAACCTTGGCCTCCCAAAGTGCTGGGATTATAAGCATGAACCACTGTACCTGGCCCAGAGGGGGTTTTTGAATAATGTTTTCCTACTTCTCATGGTGTTCTAGCATCTTAATATAAGTAAGTTACCACTCTTACTAATGACAAAAACAATGTTAACAAAACAAGCTAACTAGATACCCTCTGCTTTTTAGAATACTCTATTTCAGAAACTAATTTTTATCCCCCCCTACAGTTTGAAAATCTGAACACAGTTGCTGAGTGTCTGTTTTCTCTGGTCAACGGTGATGACATGTTTGCAACCTTTGCCCAAATCCAGCAGAAGAGCATCTTGGTGTGGCTGTTCAGTCGTCTGTATTTATATTCCTTCATCAGCCTTTTCATATATATGATTCTCAGCCTTTTTATTGCACTTATTACAGATTCTTATGACACCATTAAGGTAAGTAATTATCAATATTTGCAGCCAAAAAATCACTGCAAATTCTGTATAGATTATAGGAAAATACCACATTTTAAAAACTTAAAATATTGCAGTTCAGATTTTGAGGTTTTGTGGACAAACTTTTTAGACACTGGAGATGAGTTTTAGGACATTGTCCCTGTTACCCACAGCAGGGTGGCTCGGTTTGGAGGGGTGGTGGGAAAGGAAAGGGAAATGGGGTCAGGATGGGTTGAATGGGGTAAGTCAGGTAGTCGGGCTGCTGGTCTTAGCCCTGACGGATTACACCTGCCAGTGTGGCTGCCTGGAATTTAGGATTGAGTGATAAGTTTCAGGGATGAGAGGTGATCGGCATCCTGACAACTCTCAGATATTGCTACAACTCACACTGGATAATACAGCTACTGGCATGGTGCAGGCTTCCTTTAAATTACGAAAACTAAGGCTTTTGTGACTGTTTAGCTTCCTACTTTCTTAAGCTACCTGATGGATTCTGTATCCTTTCAAACTGGGCCCATTTAACTGATTTGTGACTTGAAGGAAGTTCACTTCCTTCTTCACAGCAGATGGTCATGCTTAGAAAATCCTGCTTCAGGGTCAGTGACTGAAAAGCCAGGGGTGCCATGCCAGTGCCTTTGTCAGGGCTGTTTTCTGCTTAACTGCTTTCTCAGAATAACGCAGAAGAAAGCCAGTCCATTACCTTTTGAGCGTGTGGGGAGATAAGTAAGTGTTCAGGTGGGAATGGTAGTTGGCTCTCACATCAGGGCTTGCATGGAGAAGGAAGAGGTGCACACTCCTGCCACAGAGGTTCATGTCTTTGATGTGGCAGTGTCCCTGCATGGTGGGGGCCAAGCCTCAGTGTTAAAGTGAGTTGTCTCATTAAGCATGAAGGGAGGGAGTCTTTGTGTCTGCTTGGAAAAAATCTGTCTTCTGTTCCACTAGGTGACCAACTTCCATAAAAGTAGAGGAAATAATGATTACTTCCCAAGCAGAGTCTACATTGCCAATGTGTGTGTGGAGTGGGAGATCTTATCTAGTCTTACTGTTAGCATTAAAGATTTAGACTTTTTTTTTTTTTTAAAGAGAGAGGGTCTTGCTCTGTTGCCCAGGCTAGAGGACAGTGGTATGATCCTACCTCATTATAGCCTCCAAGTCCTGGGCTCAGTCGATCCTCCTGCCTCAGCCTCCAGAGTAGCTGGGACTACAGGTGCACACCACCATGGCCAGATAATTTTTGTATTTTTTGTAGAGATGGGGTCTCACCATCTTGCCCAGGCTGGTCTCAAACTCCTGGTCTCAAGTGATCCTCCTTGGTCTCCCAAAGTGCTGGGATTACAGGCATGAGCCATCGTACCCAGACTAAACATTTGACTTTTGATTATTTCCTTCATTACCTTTTTTTTTTTTTTTTTTTTGACAAACCTCTCCCTGGCTCTCCTCTGCTTTCTTTCTGAAGTTTTTCTTTGGATTGTTCTCTGTTCCCACAGTGGCCCTGGCTTGGTGTTCTGGGACTGACAGATTGATTCATCATTGTTAACATCAGTTCTTGGATCTGAGCTAGCAATGTGGGAGACTTTTATTTTAGCAAAGGTGGACTTGGTTTGTTGACAAAAGAGCAATTTCTCATGCTTTATAAATAAGGTAACAACATTGTATACTTTCTAAAGAAATTCCAACAGAATGGGTTTCCTGAAACGGATTTGCAGGAATTCCTGAAGGAATGCAGTAGCAAAGAAGAGTATCAGAAAGAGTCCTCAGCCTTCCTGTCCTGCATCTGCTGTCGGAGGAGGTCAGTATCATGTTTATTCGCCATGTTCCTGAGATGGGTTGCTCTGTTGCCTTAAGGAAGAGCCCCTCCAAGATTACCATTACATTCAGAGATCAGCTTATCGTGGGAAATAATTCACCTTTCTTTTCTTTCCTCCCACTGAAATTGGCTTTAGAAATGAATTATTTCTTCTAAAACAGGGTTATGTAGAAAGCTACATGACGTGATTAGAATATCTTAGGAATACTATGAAACTCTTAAGAGAAGGCATAAATTATGTCCTTAAAGTCAAGAGGCTGAACTCTTAAGTGGACCAAGTAAGAGGTCAAAGCTCTTATTTTTAGAGGTGGAACTCTGGGAATGTCAGAGTCGTTTTCCCTTTTCACAGTATGTGGTACAAGCAACCTTTCTTGATCAGAGCAGGAAACCTCTTTGCGAGGAGGCTGTCCAAGTGCTTGCTTAGCAGTAAAACACCAGTAGCTCTTCCTTGCCCTGCTGTGCTTTGCCTGCTGTTCGTCAGGACATGTAGGGAAACGGTCTAGACTTCAGTGGACAAAGCATATTACATAGTGATTTGTGGACTAGAATGGGGTCATGTGAAGACAAATTTTTTTTAATGTGCCTGTGTTTGCTTTCATCTGAAGTCAGGGGTGCCAGTTTGTAACTAAAAGTATACTCTACACATGTTTTTTCTTTTTGGAAGGACTCTCTAACCCAAATTCCTGAAGGAAGCTAGGAGAACATAATTGCTATTTAAAACCACAGGATGCATTTTTCTGTTAATCAATTCATACAGTATCTTGGGACTTACAATGATATGATTGAGCAGATCCAGAGAATGTCTGGTAAATAGAAAATGAGATCTGAGAAGAGTTGTTTTCAGAATCACACCTTTTTTTCTCAGAGCATTAAATTGTCGCTATGAAAGCTGGGAGAAAGGAAATTAATTTTCTTAATAGGCAGCTGCCTCCTAAGAGGCACCATGTATAAGGAAAGTCTCTCAAAATCTCTTTTTTACTATAAAGGGGAAAAACTTCATTGGAAAATGTAGTCATGAATTCTAAAAAGTAAATGATAGGTCTTTGGTGTTTGGACCTTGGTTTGTGCCACACAAAGTCCTCGGAGGTTGTTAAATGTTTTGTCATGCAGCCCTATGGAACAAGTGAAAGATTTAAGGCGTGGACCCCAAGATGTTTGGGTAAGATTGGGTGTGAGTGGTGAGACGCAAGGAGCAACAGCAGCAGACTGTTTGCCCTAAGGTATGCTGAGGGTTGTTGAGAAGATGCATGGTGAGACGGAGGGTCTGCCCCTCATGAAGAGTGAAAGAATTCGAGGGAACAAGAGAATCCACCAAGGAGATCAACTAAAGAACTAGGATGATGAAAGTTTTGAAAAAGAGGATATCAAAAAATAAAGACAGGTAGCTGTAACTATGTTTGGCCAAACGATGGTCCCGAGTGAAGTCAGCTATGGCAATTTCAGTGGAATCATCAGACCAAAGCCTAGATCCCAGGGTGCTCGTATGGACCCTGCAGAGTGAATGAAGGGCCTAGGCCCTGATGGAAGGAAATGGATTGTAATGGGGCCTTAAGAACAAGTGATGGCTTTGACTCCATCTAAAATTAAGTATAGCTTGGTGTGTTTAAAAGCTAGGAATGGAGCTGGTTACGGTGGCTCATGCCTGTAATGCCGGCACTTTGGGAGGCCAGGGCAGAAGGATCGCTTGAACCCAGGATTTTGAGACCAGCATGGGCAATGTAGTGAGACCCTGACTCTTAAAAAATAAATTAAAAGCTAGGAACAGGAGAATGGACTAAAATTGAGGAAGGCTGTGAATGGAAGCTAAAGATGAACATAAAGATTCAGCTCTGCAAAGATTGGTTTCTGTCTGGTGACCATGACAGGTGACACCTGCTATCCCAATGCTGCTTCCTGCAGAGCATGGCTGTGGTCACTCTTCAACAAAGCAGTCCAACAACCAGCACACATTTGATTCTCCTTTGAGTTTTTGACAGAGCCTCTAGCTTGAGCATCAGAACACCTGGGTTTTCTTTTTGGACACTGCCATTAACCAAGTGTGTCCTGTGACCTCTCCTAAACCTCTTGGATGGATCAGATGACCTCTGAAACCTCTTCCAGTTCTAAAGTGATGTGGTTCTTTGGAGAGAGATGCTTGGTTGAAGAGACACAGAGTTAACCTTTACCTTCCTCTATTGCAGTGAAGGAGGAAAATTGACTGTTCTAGTAATTGATAAGGCCTTGTTAGCGAAGGGACACAGAGGTTCTTTTTTTTTTTTCTTCCCAGAAGCAAACTAATATATTTATTGAGTAAAACATAAATGTGACATATATTTTTCTTTTTTAAAATTTTACTTAACGTTCTGGGATACATGTGCTGAATGTGCAGGTTACATAGGTATACATGCGCCATGGTGGTTTGCTGCACCTATCAACCCATCATCTAGGTTTTCAGCTCTGCATACATTAGGTATTTGTCCTAATGCTCTCCCTCCCCTTTCCCCCCACCCCCCAACAAGTCCCAGTGTGCGATGTTCCCCTCCCTGGGGGCATGGAAGTTCTTAAGAGACAGGTGACTCCTCACAGTGTTTCCAAAAGCATCTGCTCAAACCTCAAGCAGTGGACATTGCCCTTCTTTATTTGTTTACTTATTTATTCTGAACGTTGGTAAATAATCAGAACACCTTGCCTGTCTTAATTTTTCTTCCTCTTACGTGTTTCACTCAACATGCCCATAATCTATGTGGTCCTGGAATATAGAGTATTCCTACTGCTCCTCAAAGATTTTAAATTATTGTGTCTTTTCTCTTTTCTTCTTTCCCTTTCTGTTATAGGAAAAGAAGTGATGATCACTTGATACCTATTAACTAAAGTTCTTCTGCTAAAGATGATTAAAGTTCAGGCATCCTTATCCAGCAGCTGGACAGAGGAACCCCAAATGACTTGGACCAGCAGTTCCAAAATGACTCTCTTATTTACTTGTGGAGTGAGAAAGAGGACTAGCGGTTAGCCAGCTGACCATGACTGAAATTCCAGCTTTACTTTTTATAAACTTGAATGATAAAGAATAGACCACAGGCTACTGCTGGGCATTAGTGCAATTGAACAGTGATAATAAAATTCTCTATTAGTCTGTTAATTTATGACATGATCTCAGAATGGAAAAAGATCACATTTCAGAGTGTGCAAAATAGTCTTTAAAGCCATGTATTTAAATATGTGTGTTTATTGTCAAATAAGGGTTTGTTTTAAAGGTGATTCTTGGTTTGAAGACATTCGTTAATTCATGGTCTGTATAGAAATGAAGTTGGTTGCAGTACCAATCTAGAGAGTCCAAGCTGGCGAACTACTAAGCTATTTAAAGATCACCCTTGGCCTGGCACAGTGACTCACACCTGTCATCCCAGCACTTTGGGAGGCCTACGCAGGCAGACCACTTGAGCTCAGGAACTTGAGACCAGCCTGCGCAACATGGCAAAAACTCATCTCTACAAAAAATATAAAAATGAGCTGGGCATGATGGCAGGCATCTGTAGTCCCAGCTACTTGGGAAACTGAAGTGGGAGGATCACCTGAGCCCTGGAGGCAGAGGATGCCATGAGCTGTGATCGTGCCATTACACTCCAGCCTGGGTAACAGACAGACCCTGTCTCAAAAAAATAAAAAAAAAAAAAAAGATCACCCTTAAATCAACAAAAAGACCTCATGCTCATGCAGTGGACATTTCTTGGCCTGTTTTCCTGTGGGTTTTTCTTCAGCATGATATGAAGCAACTGTTGGCATAGCCAGTGGGATGAATAAGAAATGGAATCATTTGTCTGCCTCGTCACTTGTGCTAATGGTTGGTTGTACACACAGGACGTGTGGAAGTGACCTGTATCTGTGGTCACTCATTTTAACAATTGAACTCTGCTGTGTTAGTCGTTTACCTTTGTCTAGCAAAGAAATATGGTATATTTTCTCTAAATAAATTTATTTTTATCATTCCATATGGCACTTACTATTGAAAGTGAAACATTTCAATAGTGAAACATTCAGTGAAACATTCAGATCACATCTCTCTTAAGCACTTGGTCTCCAAAAGGGATTTCCCAATTGCTTAAAAGCAGTGAAGGACACACAGGGGCTAGGATACAGAAGTTATTCAATAAATATTTATGATGATAGCTTGAGAGATGAAGATCACTTCAGGCATAGACTTATTTCATACTTGAGCTATCTTAGTGGTCAACTATTTTAAAGTTACTGGTGAAGAGGAGAATTTGAATTAAGCAGGACCCACCCTCCTTCCAGGGTTCTTCCTCTTTTTCCTTGGCTGCAGTCGCCCTCCCCACAATCCCCTACCCAATTTTCCTTCTCATGTCACCTTCTCCCTCCTTGCTCTGACTCCATCTTCATATGCCTGCACCAAATCTAGGCAGGGAAAATCATGCAGTTAATACCATGAAAGTTATTAAGAGAGTAGATGACTCATGTCTACACACAGGATACTTTGCTAAAATTATCATTTTAAACTTTATTTTTTACAAAATATGTGAAGAGTTATGTTTGATTTTTAAACTAAGACACCATTAAAGTGGTGGTTCTGGGGTCATTTGCTGAATCAGAGATGTAATTTGACCACTTGTTAACTTCTGAGTATATTGTCATATACTTAGTTTTGTCTCTGAAAAGAATTGCTATTGTTTTCTTTTTATTTATTTATTTTTTTAGACAGATTCTTGCCCTGTTGCCACACTGGAGTGCAGTAGCACGATCTTGGCTCACTGCATCCTTTACCTCCCAGGTTCGAGCAGTTCCCCTGCCTCAGCCTCCCGAGTAGCTGGGACTACAGGCATGTGCCACCACATCCGGCTAATTTTTGTATTTTTTTTTAGTAGAGATGGGGTTTCACCATACAGGCCCAGAGGGTCTTGATCTCTTGACCTCGTGATCCACCTGCCGTGGCCTGCCAAAGTGTTGGGATTACAGATGTGAGCCACCGCGCCCGGCCCAAGAATTGCTATTAACATGGTGAAACCCTGTCTCTACTAAAAATACAAAAATTAGCTGGGTGTGGTGGCAGGCGCTTGTATTCCCAGATACTCGGGAGGCTGAGGCAGGAAAATCGCTTGAATCCGGGAGGCAGAGGTTGCAGTGAGCCAAGATCCCGCCACTGCACTCTAGTCTGGGTGACAAAGCAAGACTCCGTCTCAGGAAAAAAGAAAAAAAGCCTTTCACTTATTCTACAGCTGTGACTTCTGTTTGAATAGAAGATTAATGATGGGTTTTCATGCTCATATTATTCTTCTGTTGGCTTTCATGTTTTCTTTTATTTCTTTTCCCTCCAGCTGGACAAAATAGTTAGAGAAAGAAAAATGTTTTTCAGGGTTAGTTCACATCTATAGAAACATGGTTTTCTCCCTTTTTAATAATGTTAAACAAGTGTCACTTTACCAACTGTATTGTCTATTTGGATTTTATTGAACAATGTTGTCTCATAATTCTGCTAATAGATGCATCTGGGATAAATCATTTTCTCTCTTATCACAGGCCTCCACTTAGAGAGTTCCCTGTGAAAGTTAGGAGACACATTCTTTCTGCCTACTGGTTTCATTCCGGGATCTCCAACCCTTGAATTTAACTGCTTGGCTTGTGGTGACACAGTCAAAACCATATGCAACATTTTAAAGCTTTTTCACTTGGGCTGGGAGTAGAGAGTGTGGGCATAAGAGCCATCTAGACAGACTTGAGTTAAAATTCCAGGTTAACCTAACTTTAAGACCCTGAACAAGTTACTTTCTTCCTCTAAGTGATGATTAACCTCAACCAAGACTAGCACTTAAGTCGCATAATTTATGCAGAACCTGGTATTGAATTCATTCCTGAGCTGCTATTTCCCTTTGATTCTCTACCATGTTTGCAATAGTTTCCATGGGACCATGGAATAATGCAGACACAACTTTGCTTCTGCAACCTGTCTGCCTCAGCTGTCCTCTTCCTACTGCTACCCGAGTCTCCTTGGATAGGTCACACCATGCATCGATTTCCTCATCCATAAAATGGGGGGATTATGAGGATTAAATGAGTCAAATGTAAAGTACATAGACTAGGGCGTGACTCCTAAATGCTCAGTGACTATTAGCTCTTCAAAAAAAAAAAAAAAAAAAAAAGTCTTACTAACATGGTCTACAAATGTACAAATCTATTCATCTGGGCCAGCCAGGAAGATTTTTATTTTATAATGAGCTCACCACACACTTCTGGTGGACTTTGTTCTAGTTAGAAGTTTAAGTGTGCAAAAGTCCCCCATCCAGCTCTGTCCTGGAAGCAATGATCAGTTCAGTTCTAAGAAGCTCACACCTAGCTATACAGGAGCAGCAAGGAGAAGCAGCCTAAATGGCTGGGGCACAGCTGTCAGTCCTGATGGAAGAGAAAAGGTCCAGGAGGTGCACAAGCTGTCACAAAGCCTCAGTCCTTCACCCCGGTGAGACCCTCAGTCATCTACTAGGACTACCCCCTTAACCAAACTTGTCAGAATGTATGAAATTCAGGCCCACTTGCTTCTCAACCCATTGAAGATTCAAAGTGGTGAATGCAAAAGAGTGAGAGAGAGTAGTTAGGAAAAGCTCTTCATGTGATTCGAAGCACTGTCCCCTACTCCTGCTGAGGACCTACACTCCAACAATTGTAAGAAGGGTACACTGATCCAGTGGAAGCCCAGGCTTGGAATCTTGGGTTTACAAAAAGCACAACAGCCCAGTCTTTTAATCTAGGAGTAGCCAGTCACCCTCTTGTCCCTGTGGACCTTCATGTAAAAATAGTCCAGCATGGTATTGATGTTCAGGGGCCTTTCTAAAGTCATTGGGAAGGTATATTCAGTAAACTACCACCATGGTCTTGGCCACAGAGTTGTTTCCTGACAATATCAAGAGCTGTGATGCTTACAGGTATGATTCCAGATACCTGAATAATTCACTTGTGACAGCCACATATTGCAGTAACATTAGATGAATAGACCTCATTTTACTGCTAATCAGTTCCATCTTTATTTTCTTGTAATTTGGACAAATTTTATTTTGCTTTGCTTCACTTGAAGTTTGAACATTTTAACCATGTAGTCCCTCCTTGTTCACAGAGAATATGTTTCAGGACCTCCAGTAGAGGTGCAAAACCCCAAACAGTACTGAATCCCATACAGGTTGAGCATCCCTAATTCGAAAATCCAAAAGCTGAAATGCTCCAAAATCTGAAACTTTTGCTGACATGACTCCACAAGTGGAAAGCTTCACAGCTGACATCATGTGATGGGTTGCGGTCAAAACTTTGTTTCATACACGAAATTATTTAAAATATTGTATGAAATTACCTTTAAGCTATGTATATAAGGTATATATGAAACATAAATGAATTTCATGTTTAGACTTGGATCCCACCCCCAAGATATCTTATTATGTGTATGTTAATATTCCAAAAGCTGAAAAATCCAAAAGCTGGAACACTTCTGGTCCCAAGCATTTTGGATAAGGGATACTCAACCTTTTTATATTATGTTTTTTCCTATATGTACATACCTATGATAAAGTGTAATTTATAAATTAGGCACAGTAAGAGGTTAACAACAATAACAATAAAATAGAACAATTATAATAATATACTGTATTAACAATGATGATAAAATAGAACGATTATAATAATATACTGTATTAATAAAATAGAACAATTATAACAACACTATACTGTAATAAGCTATAAGAATGCGGTCTCACAGAATGTCTTACTATACTGTATTCACCCTTCTTATGATATGAAATGATAAAACGTGTAAGTGATGAAGTGAGGTGAGTGATACAAGCATTGTGATGTAACGTTAGGCCACTACTGACCTTCCGATGATACGTCAGAAGGGGGTCCCAGATCATTGAGCCATGGTGATGTCAACGGTTAGATGTCAGGAGCAGACGATGTTGATGACTAATGGATGAGGAGCATCTCAGCATGGACACACTGGGCAAAGGGAGGAGGCACGTGCCAGGATGGATGGGATGGGACACACGAGATTTCATGACACCACTCCGAATGGCAAGCAATTTAAAGTTTATCAAGTATTTATTTCTGGAATTTTCCATTCAATATTTTCAGACCGTGGTTGATCTCTAGTAACTGAAACCACAGAAAGTGGATAAGGGTAGCCTACTATATTGCAATGAGGTTGAGTCTTTCTCTACCAAATAGCTAGAATTTCACACAGTTCGTAAAGCATGCATGAAGTAGCTCTTGCATGAGGAGTGATGAGGACCTTACAGGCTAAACCCTAAGCACAGCATTCTGGTATCAGGCACTTGAGGAAGGACAAGAGGCACAGGAACAAGAAACCGCTGGTCCTGTGTCTTGATGCAGGTGTTGACTGAGCACCTCTACTTTTCCTTCCTACACTTGGGATGTTCCAGGCTCTGGATACTGCTGACATGCAGAGCCAGCTTTGTGGCTATGTAATCCATACATTCTCAAAGAACCTTGTGCTTGGCTTAATGGTCCTCCGTCAGTCTTGAAATTCTTAATATTTCTTGAACAAGGGACCCCACGTTTTCAGTTTTCAGTAGGCCGCACAAGTTATGTAGCTAATCTTGATGATAGGATTATATAACTCAATGATTAAAGCATGGTTTTTTTTTAAAAAAAGGCTAGGAACCCAGGAATGTACTTTTAAATTTAATAAATTTAATAAAAGAAAAGCATGAACCTGAATTGGAATTGCTTTTTGAAAAAACGGACTTTTTTAAGAGCAATTTTTGGTTTACAGCAAAATTGAGAGGCAGGTACAGAGAGTTCTCATATCCCTCCTGCCCACACATGTGCACAGCCTCTGCCATTATCATCATCCCACACCAGAGTGGTATATTAGCTACAATCCAACCAATGAAACTGCACTGGCACATCATTACCACCCAAAGTCCATAGTTTACATTACGGTCATTCTTGGTGTTGTACACTCTGGATTTGGACACAT